TATGTATATATATATATATATATATATCTGACATAGCATTTTTGAGACTTATCTATGTTATTTAATCCTCACAGCCCCACCCTGTTATAGATAGCACTGCCCCCATTTTGCAGATGAGGAGACTGAGGCTCAGAAAATGAGGAGATGCACTGCACAAGGTCATCTAGCTTCGTGGGACTGGAATCCAAGTCCCGGGCATGTCACGTCTAAGTTTAGAGAGGTTGGTTTTCAAATTCCCCATCCCATCCCTTCACCCTTCCCTTCCCCTCATGAAGGGAGAAAAAGTAAAATCATCCGAGAACGCTCAGCGTTTCAGCAAAAAGCCCCGTATTGAGGAAACAATTTAAAATATAAAATACAGAGGTCGGAATAAACTTTTCAAGATTCAAGGGAGGTAGAAAAAGCCAGCCTTATAGCAGGCACCTGACTGTTGTGAAATGTAAGAAGTAACGTGAGATGAAATAAAAATATGATAAAGATTTTGGTCATGCTGGTATTAAAAGTAGTAAGATGTTGATGCTTTAGGCTTCCGAAGGCGCCTTTCCACGCGTTGCTATTATCTAGCTCAGCTGCTGGAACCTGCGGTTTTAAAGGCAGGAGAGTGGAACATCCCGTGACAGCACCTGGGTTATTTATCATTAAGTATAACCCCGCTACACTATATTTTATTATGCTGCCTTTAAAAGGAAGATAATACAAGTATGGTTAATTTGCTTCTCTTCTTTATCTATACAGTGTCATGACCCTCCATGGCTTTGTCCCATGAGATTTGTTTTTCAACCAAAAAGAAATCCACAAGAAACTCTCCCTAAAAATTCCATTAATAACCTCTTTCAGAGCGTATAGGTTGCAGGGTCTGGAACTAAGAATGTTTTAATCTCTTCAGCAAAACAATGTCTCATAATGATGCACAGGACTATTGCTGTACTGATGAAGAATCATACATAATTCAGCACCTTTCACTTGGCACCACTGTGATATCCTCATTAGCCGTGGCTCACAGTGTCTGTCAGATGGTGTCCATGCGAACGCAGGCATTATATTGTCTTTGAGATGTGCAGCTGCTTCCATGACACTGCCAGTATATAAAAACATGACGCCAGTTTGTTTTATTTAGTGCTAAACCTTCCAGTTTGTAAAAACAAGGCTGACACAGAGCCTGACATGAGGCAGTGAAAATAATTAGCTCTCATTTTCTCAGCCTCCTATTTCCTTCTCCCTGCTGTGTTCTCTTTCCACTAAACCACCACATGTCAGTCGAAATGGGAGGCAATTAGTGGGCTCATTTCAGTCCCCACAACTGTGCTGAAAAGAAAGTATTTATGATGGCACAATGAACAGCTGAAAGATTAAATAACATTTGCCTTTTGAAAAGAAAATGACTTCTAGCTAAATGGGCAATTTTTGATTATTCTCAAACAAGCTTAGAGTAGTTGGTTTTTAAAATACAAGAAAGGAAAATGAGTCATTTTTAGGTGAAAGAATCAAATAAAACTTGACACAGTAATGCAAATAACTGATGTTTTATTGCAAAATATGTAAATGCGTTATACCCTTAACAATGGCTTGTGTCTAAGGTCAGGGCAGATTGGTGCCAAGTAGACACCAGTGGAGATAAGGTTGCTATATTGCCTTTTTTGGGGTTGTTATTCAAGTTATGTGTAAAAAAAAAAGGACTTTGGGGATGATGTTAAAATAAAGTGAGACAAATCAAGTGAGGCATACTTTCATATGATGCATGACACACTTGACTATCTAAAATGGTTCGGATGTTGGTTGACATGTTTGGAAAGGGCTTTTCTTTTCCTTTAACTGTATCTGAAATTGGAAGGTACTAGGTCTTCTTCTTGAAAAAGAAGAATAATAAGTCTTGGTATTGATTTTTGAATAATTAAGAATCTATTTTATCTCAGACTGAGTTTCTTAACCAATATAGAAGGTGCTCTGCTTACCTAAGTACTGTTTAACATTTTTTTTTTAATACTAGGACATTTGTTGCAAATAAACTTTTATCCAAGACCCTCAAAATATAGAAACAGCTGTTCTACCTACTAAGTTCTTCTCCTCCCACCCCAGGTTTAGGGGTGATGAGAAAAAATATAATTTCTGAAAAAAACACTGGCTTAGCTAGTAGGCACTGTTTACCAGTTGAGCTATTCTAAATACAAATTCTAATGTCTGGGATTGATATGGTTGTCATACATCCTTGATTTCCCAACATAGTGCTTTTAATTTTTTTCACTGAATCTGTCCCTTTTATAGTTGATTATTCTTTGTTTTTTTTTTTTTTTTTTTTTTTTGAGACAGAGTCTCACTTTGTTGCCCAGGCTAGAGTGAGTGGTGCCGTGGCATCAGCCTAGCTCACAGCAACATCAATCTCCTGGGCTCAAGCCATCCTACTGCCTCAGCCTCCCAAGTAGCTGGGACTACAGGAATGCACCACCATGCTCGGCTAACTTTTTCTATATATATTAGTTGGCCAATTAATTTCTTTCTATTTATAGGAGAGACGGGGTCTTGCTCTTGCTCAGGCTGGTTTCGAACTCCTGACCTCAAGCAATCCGCCCGCCTTGGTCTCCCAGAGTGCTAGGATTACATGCGTGAGGCACCGCACCCAGCCTATAGTTGATTATTCTTAACACCTAATTTTTGGTTCAGAAAACACAAGCCACCGTGAATACTGAAGTGTTCTTGCTGCAGGACTTACAGTGATCCTCGGAGGCTTTTGAAAACTTGCTTCTAAAAGCAAAGACCTCCTCTATTACTCTCAACAGCTGTGCCTGTCATCACCGAGTCTTCAATTATTACTGTTTCAACATTTTTAAGAGACAGACACAAATTAAAATTGTTTCCCTGTTTCCGTAGTATATTCTTACTTTTTACAAACCTGAATCCCAATTTTTCATTCATATAATATGATCAGTATGAAACAATCTGACAATATGAGACAACGGTGACCTAGGAGCCCTAAGCCAACCAAAAAATGGACTCATTAGGAGACTGGAGCTCTCTCTGAGCTAACGACACCTATTATTATAGCTGGTAACCAGCAATAATGTGTTTGTAATTTATTCAAGCCTATGTTTTATCATGCATACTACATTGCTATTCGCTATTTTAAAAGGACTTCGTAATCTTGATCAGGAGACTGAGAAGGATCCCATAGTATGCTGGAGCTAGCTCTCTCGAGCCCCTTGCTCACAGCTCTTCCCAACTTCAAGCTCCATGACGTCAGATGGGTAACTTGGAATCGGCCATGGTGGCAGCCCTCACACCATGGAGATCAGCAAACGCTACAAATCGGGGCTGTTTTCTCCTGTGGTTAGACATTTCCTGGCATGTTAGCATGTACACATGACTGTCAATCCATCAGCAAGTGCGCACTGAGCACCTCGCCCAGTTCTGCTCTAGCACTATAGGCGGCTGTCCAACCCGTCTGACAAAGTGCATCGCCGCGCTCTGTAATTAGATATCAGCAGCGAGTTATACAGTTGTAAAATTCTGAACTGCATTTGCTTCTTTGCTGTCAGTTAAAACTTGTGTTTCTTTCTCATTTTTCAAAAACCACTTTACTGTGGTATAGCTGGCATACAAAAAGCTGTACATATTTCATGTATGCAACTTGATGAGTTTAGGCAATAACATATACACCCGTGAAACCATCACTATACTCTATGCCATAAACCTACTTGCCACCTCCAAACGTTTCCTCTTGCCTTCTTATTTATTATTACTATTATTGTTATTATTTTTTTGATAAAAACACTTAACATAAGATCTACCCTTTGCAATTTTTTTTTTTTTTTTTTGAGACAGGGTCTCACTCTGTTGCTGTGGGCTAGAGTGTAGTGGTGTCATCATAGTTCACAGCAACCTCAAACTCCTGGGCTCAAGGGATCTTCCTGCCTCAGCCTCCTGAGTATCTGGGAAGCACGCCCATGCCCAGCTAGTTTTGCTATGTTTTGTAGAGACAGGGTCTTGCTATGCTACCCAGGCTGGTCTCAAACTCCTGGGCTCAAGCAACCCTCCCGCCTCAGCCTCCCAAAGCTCTGGGATTATGGACATGAGTCACCATGCCCAGCCCTTAGCAAATTTTTAAGTATACAACACACCATTGTTGACTATAGGCAGTATGCTGTACAGTAAATATCTAGGACTTACTCATCTTGTACAATCAAAACTTGGTATCCTTTGGCTAGTACCTCCCTGTCTTCTCCCTGAAACTCGTATACTTAGGTACACAAATACACGTGTGGGTACATAGAGTTTTTCTCCCCAAAAATAGTTGATCATGGGAAATAAACTTCCCTACACTGAACTTTTAATAAATGCAAGATAAAGAAAAGCAGTGCTTTTAGCTGTTCTGAAATTTACAAAAGGTGTTAGCATTATATTTCCTTACAAAATCCTTTTCTTTGTGCCCTGTTATTTTATTCATGTTTATCTATCCATTTATAAAAATTGCACAATAGGAAAAAAAAGCCCTATTTGACAGTTTTTGATATTTATAGTGCTCTGAGAAATGGCCTGGAGAGTCAATTAAGTTTATTAAATGCAACATTTTATAAGCAACCTAATAAAGACCTAAACACACAATACAAGTGGGAAGCATTTGTTAAAAAGCAGAATTTTTAACCAATGGATGACATGACTGGAAAAGCAGAACTATGGACTAAATTTCTTCCAGTAGGTTGTGGGAGAAAGCCCTCCAGTGACAATCTCCCACTTGGAGGATGTGAGTCAGTTCTGTTTCTACCTCTTCAAAATGTTCCTCTTGGCCAGATACAATGGCTCATACCTGTGATCCTAGCACTTTGAGAGGCCGAGGCCAGGAGTTTGAGCCCAGCCTGGGCAACATTGTGAGATCCTAACTCTATAAAAAGATAGAAAAATTAGCAAAGCATGGTGGTGTGTACCTGTAGTCCCAGCTACTTGGGAGGCTGTGGCAGGAGGATGGTTTGAGCCTGAGAGTTTGAGGTTGCAGTGAGCTGTGATGATGCCACTGCACTCTAGCCTGGGCAATAAAGTGAGACCCTGTCTCAAAAAAAGAAAGAAAAAGTTTCTCTCAATTTCTCTTCCTGATTGTCTTGCCCCTTTAAAATATCTCTCAAAAGAAAATGGGACGCAATGGTCATCTGGAAGCAGTGGCTCGAGTCTGGAAGCCTTGTCCCTATTTAAGGGTTCACTGTAGCTGGCGTGTTAGGAGAGATGGGGTATTGTTTCCGTCACTTCTCCCCTAACCTCAGTCTCTTACCTATGGCAGGTGATCCATTTAGACCCCCATCCAGGTTTCCTTTGCCTCACTGGGGAGAAGAGGAAATCAGGACTCGAAGGACGAAGCCTATGACTGTGGAGCTCACAAGGAATGGACAACGCCCCAAACAGTTCCTTCCTGACTCTGCTTTTGAATTTTTATGACATAAAGTCTCAAAGAGATCTTGGTGAGAAAACTGCTGGGTGATTTGATAGTTTATCCCTTGGCAATTTGAGAATCAATATTCCTGACTGGCGAGCTGATAAGAGATATAATAATAAACTGCGCAGCTGAATATTTCAATAAAAAAGGGTGGTTGCCACCCTGGGGAGTGCACGAAGCTGCCAGAGACTCTGGATGCTGCTTTCCTTTTGTGCCAAGTCAAAGGCCTTAGATTACAAAACGTAAGGCACTTTGCATGCAAAACAAAAACAGTGGTAATGTATTAATAGTATTAACTGACTCAAAGAAAAATGCCTTTTTATGACCAATATATCATTGGGAGATGATGACAATTTCCAAAAAGAGGCAGTATGACATAGTGGTTAAGCCTTCAGGCTGAATCTGCCCCTTACCAGGTGGGGAACTCTGGACAAGGCACTTCACCCCTCTGTTCCCCAGTTTCCTCATGAAGAGAATAAAACAGGGATAATGTCCCCTATCATGTTGAGATGTAACAGTTACAGGCCAAGTAAATGGGTAAAATCCATTCTCACTTTTTGTTTTTATAGACAGGGTCTTGCTCTGTTGCCCAGGCTGGAGTGCAGTGGCCTGATAACAGCTCACTCACTGCAGCCTCCAACTCCTGGGCTCATGGGATCTTCCGGCCTCAGCCTCCCAAGTAGCTGGGACTCCAGGAATGTGCCACCATATATGATTAATGTTTTAAATTTTTTAGTAGAGATAGGGTCTTGCTATGTTGCTCAGGTTGGTCTCAAACTCCTGACCTCAAGAGATCCTCCCACCTTGGCCTCACGAAGCACTGGGATTACAGGCTCACGTGAGCCACTGCCCTCGGCCCATTCTCACTTACTAATTTAAATTGCCAGCAAAGCCTTTGGTCCCATCATGATGTTTTCCCTGCCAGGTTGTTTCAAAAAAGGTAATTTCATTTGTGGGCAAATTCTTGTAGCGCAGGTGGGGTTGAAGCCTGGTCAAGTCCTGGCTCTGCAGAGGGGTGTGGCAGTGAAGACTAAGATCATGGGCGCGGTGTCTCTGTGTCCACTCCTGACAACTGCAGTAGGCAAAGTCACTCAAACGGGCACGACCTTCCAAGCTTCTGCAAATCAGCCTCATTTTGTGCCATAATCCAACTGATTGCAAAATGAAGCTAAGAGAAATAATTTAATCTGAGTTTTTAGAACAAAAGGTTGGCAGGCTTTTCCCTCTATATTTCCATATTTGTATATAAGGTCACATTTTCATTGTTTGCTTTTAGTAGGCTTAACATGACTGAAATGACTTATCAATTGTAAAGGGTAGTTAGCTGGTGGTCCTTCTCAAATGCAAAGGGGAAATGTAGCTACTATTTTCATGATACAGTCACTGTCATATATCATTCCCAATGGCTGTTATTAGAACACATTTTTCATTTTATTTGCTGAAGAAAAGGTGAAATCAAGCAATTGTCGCTGCTCTGCAGACTCTTAGGTTAGGAGAGAACTTCCAAAGCTCTAGTTTTCCCCTGGACACCCTATTCTAGTCATGGAGGTGGGGTGCACATGGAGGTTTTTTGCCTTTTCCATGGAGATAGGTTTATGAGAAATCAGTTAATTGGGATTTAGAGGAAGTCTTTTTTTTCTTCTTCTCAGGTTCCACCTATAAAGGTCAAGGTAACAAGGTGTTCATGCTGGGAACTGGAATTTCAATTCAAAGCACATTTGTGAGAAGGTATTTCACAATGCTAGGGCACAGGCTGGCATATCTGATACAGCACAGAACTGGATAGGAATTTATTCTAGGGTTGTTTCATGTATGTTTACAGATAGCATCAATGTTGTCAGTCAGGTGTGAGAGCTAGCACATGTTTAATACAAACACAATAATAAAGATGTAATTTCTGGTCTCAAATATTTCCTTGCCTCACCCCATGCTGGTCACATGCTTTCTCTTGCTGTTCCCTGATCAGCAGTGACAATACTATGCCTTATGCATCTCACACAAATGCCAGGGAGATAAATGAGATGACATTTATGAAATATTTGAGTTCTTTAGAAAGAAGTGTTCTCTAAGCAAAAGCTTTAAACATTACATCCAGAAAATCATTTTGCAAATGCCCATCAACCCCTTCAAGCCTCAATAAAATACTCATCCCTTCCAGCAAAAGCTTTTCCTGATGGCCCTCACCTATTCTAGTCACTTCTTTATACTTTTAGCACCTTGGCATCATATCCACATTGGATGTTTCACTTTGGCTCTATTACTCTCCAGTTGCCCACACTAGAAACCTGGGCATGTTCCCGGTCCCTCCCTCTCACTCACCCTGTCTCCGGCTCGGGACACAGTCTGGGCAACCCTGTCTCAGTGTGTCCTGGGACCCGTGGCACTGCCACAGGCTCAGCTGCTCCCCATCCTTCACCTGGCTGTCTGCACTGCCTGCTCACAGATCTCTCTCTAGCATGGCCCCTTCCAGCTCATCCTCTTCTGGGCTTTGGAGAGATCTGTTAAAAACATAAATCTGATCCTAGCTACTCTTTGCTTCAACTCTTCAAAATCCTTGGCTTAGCACATAAGAGAGTTCTTTTTCTGGCTGCCAGCTCCCTCTCTGGCCTTAACTCTCATCACGCTGCTCTCCTTGCCCTGTGCTAACTCTTCCAGAGGGAGGATGCTTGAGTTGAGTCATGGGGTCTCATCCAAATTAGGCTAAGAGCTCCCTGTGTTTTCCTGGCTTCATGCTTCTGAGGTTTTGCACACATGGTTCCTTCTACCTTCAATGTCCTCTCCCTACCTAATAATTCCTAGTGGTTTTCAAATTTTGGCTCAAGAATCACTTCCACCAAGAAGACTTCAAGGCCACCCCTCACCCCTTTCCTATCTGCTATAGAGGCTCATCCAGGGCACTTCCACAGAATCACGTGTGTGGTGTTGTAAAACCCATCATCCTCGGCCATGGCATTCATTGATCTTGTCTATTTCCTCCAATAAGCTGTGGTTTCCCTGAAAGCTGGGATTGTACTTTTTGACTTTGTATTTTGAGCATCTAGCCTAGACAGGGCCAGGCACAAAGTAGGCCCTTGGTGAATGCCTGCTGAGTGAGTGGATGAAATTATTAATCTGGAGGGGTGACCAAGGAACAGCAGAATATCAAATGTTTTGGTGACTTTAGCCCTTGTGTATAACCCATGATTCAAGAAGTGTACACGATTATGGTTAAAAACAGACCACTGTATTTGATCTCAAATATTTATAGTTTCTAATTTTTACTAAAAAATATATTTTTTAGTTTTCCACATTAACAAGTCATTTTATTTCTTCATTGAAAATATTTTCTTGGTTGAGACCTCCCTTTACAAGTCTCTTCCAAGGAAATTTTTCTTTATTTTACCATCTACAAGCCATAAAAAGGTTTAAACAAAGAGGACTCATAAATTAAGTGCCATGACTCAAGGATACTAAAGAAGGCAAATTAAAATATGCAATTTGTTTACCATCAGATGAATTTAAGGGTGCCCATGGCTGCAGAATCTCAGGTTAGAAGGGCCTACGATGTTGGAGAGGGAGGAACTCACTTTCCTGTCCCCTTTCTGTAGCTGCTTTCAATAACAGGAATGGACAGCAGTGATCCATTCGCAGGGGAAAAAAGAAGTATCACACACAAGAGACCTGGGTTCAAAGCAGCTTTCACTCAACCAAATTCTGTGGCCAAAACAGGAGCGGTAAAGATTTCCTTTCAGCAGAGGCATCCATATACCTGCAACAGCGCAGGGCAGACACCCCTTTTTCAGGTGTCTAGAAAGAGCATCTTTTGAAGCTGCAGGTGAAACTCAACCCCTCACAATAATTTCCAGTCATTCCTAAGCCCTGGTTCCTAAAGAATAGCCTGGGGTAAGCGTGGTTTTATCAATGAATGGCCAGTGCCCCAGCTGGGCCCCCTGGGCTACAGGTTGTGAGCCATTATGTTTACGAGGTCCCTTGGTGTCCTCAAAGGAAAGGTACAAATAGGACAGCAGTTGAGAGCTTGGGTTCTGGGGACAGAGTGGCTTGCGTTCAAATCTCCACTCTGCTACCTGCTAGCCATGGAACCTTGCGCAGGTTATTTCACCTCTTGGAGCTTCAGTTTCCTCATTGGCAAACGGGGGAAAATAGCATTTATACCTCAGTACTGTATGCCTGGTACACAGCAAGTGGTTAATTAATGTAAGTTATCATCATCATCATCATCATTAGCTATTATGGTAATCTAAAGTGACACAAACCTACTATAATTCTAATCCATACATTACCTAGGTCAAATAATTTTTCCAGACATAAAAATGACAAAGTGAAAGCCTGACTGAGTGAGTGTAGGTCAAACGCCCTGCCGCCCTATTTAGAGCTGGTAATCTGGGTCTCCTTGTCGCCCACAGTCCCACTCTCAGTGTTGTTCACTCTGGGTATTGCAAAACTGGTTTCCCTTAAGAAATGGGACTCAGGGCGCTGTGACATGAGCAGCACAGTCCCTCTGCTGCCCACTGCCCCATTCCCCATCCTTGCTCTGCTGTGAGTTACCTTGAGGTCTGGATGGCCTCACACGATTCTTCAGCTGACTGAGAGAGGAAGATTCCTAGACTGGATTGCAGAGCAGCTGGCAGTCTTTCAGCTAAATTCTATTTTATAAAGTCTATAAATTTACTCAGAATCAAGTCACCAGCTGGTAGCGGGTGTATAAAACCATGGAGTTACAGGAGGAAAAAAAAAAGAGTAATTAGATTGAAATTTATCCAAAGGTTTAGAAATAGGATTTACCTGTGGGCCAGTTCCTGGTTTCAAGTGAAAACCAAAAACCAGTTCAAGGTTCACTATTTTTTCCTCATTTTCTTCCGGTTCACCTCCAGAGTCCTAAAACAGAAATCCAAGCACTAGTCATTCTAGATGTTGTTTTTACTTAGGAAAAGAAAAGGATTTCATAGCACTAGTTTTTTCTATTCTAATCTATTGTTTAACTTTTGGTTATTTTGGATTAAGTTACAAATTACAATTACTTTAAAGCAAGAGAAATGAGGTATTGGGCCTTTGAGAACTTTGCCAAATGATTTATTTCGCGTACTTCAAATTGAATGCCACTATCTTACATTTATCACAGTGCATCTTACGTTGTGCAATTTTACCCTAGAAATGCACTTAGCACCTGGAGATGCATTGTGAGATTTCAACTTGAACTTTCACAGCACTTAGAGTATTTACAAGCTATTCCCAAAGAGGAATTATGCAGGTCCTGGAGCACATGTGGATGGAGACCAACAAAATGAATCTTTAGGGGCTTAGAGATGAAAAACCATAGCTGTTAGGGAATGAGTAAAGTTCTGGGTATTAGTTGCAAGTATTTGCTGATTCTATTACAAAGTATACCATATACCTACAGATTATATTCAAAATATGCTAAATATATTAATACATTATTCAAACAATAAACCTCCCATCCCCAATGCCAATGATAACCTAGAGCTCTAGTGTGTGAATTCCTTCAGTGACTTACATGCTGAAAGGCCTCCAGGGCCAGGTGGGAGGCCGGAGGTCCTACAACACTGACACTTCTATCTCCTCGCCACTCAAGTGAGGCGTGTTGTTCTTATCAGGAACACACCGTTAATATTTCAACTTGCGAGGAACAAGGGTGTTCAATGTATACACATCCTTAGCTTCAAAAGGCCCTTTGTTGGGCAGATATGATTACATTTCACTTCAAACAACTGTTTCCGACGTTGGCAAATGTAGGTGTGGATGTGGCAGGTGCGTGTGTCAGTGAAAGGAGTGTACTTTCCGTAAAGGGGAAAACCCCACTTACCTTGATCAGCGGTGGGAAGTGAAACAAGTTTAGGTAATCGTGGGTCAATTTCTCAATGGCTGACTGTAAAAGAAAAGACACATGACTTTATTAATGATTCGATAATGCCAAGAGACGATTAAAATTATTGGGTACATATAAAAGCATTCCCTTATTTACACAGTTCATAAAATATATTGGAGATGTTAATATCCAACATCTACTGAGAATAAACCTGATTGTCCAAAATAGTATAGGTGGCTTGTAATTATTTAAAGAAAGATATTTGGAGCTGATGATTTTGCACTCTAATAATATAAGCCTCAGCTCTGGCAGCAGGGGCAGGGTCCATATTCCCGACTTCAGAGATGTCCTGTGGGTGACTGTCTTCACATGCTCACTCACCAGGAGCTCGAGGGCAGTCTTGGGTCCCCCCAGATCCTGGCCACCCCTCCCATTGGATCTCAGGGCAGACCCTCTGGGTCATGAGGAGAGGACACTGCATCGACTCCACCCACCTCAAGTGGGCCAAATAATTTTTTTAACCCCAAGTGGCTGCTTCTATCAAGGGCTTTTTCTCCATGCATGCTTCTTGGCTTCTCCGCAGCCATTGGCCCTTTGATCATTGATTCTATCTTAGAGCTTTTCCAACGTTTGGCTTCTGTAACACCACTCTCTCATTTCCTACTTCCTGGATGGGTCCTCCTGTCTTCTTCTTCTCTCCTGCCCGGGCCTTTGACCTCTCCGTGCCACAGGCATCCTTTCTGAAGGCACGTGGTCCTCCAAAGACAGAAAGCCTTCAGGCTGGGACTGTTCCCAGGCAGGGGTATAAAGGTGGTGTGCTTTCTTTCTTCTTATTATGAGTTTTTAATTCACATCCCATAAAATTAACCATCTTAAAGTGGGCAATTCAGCGGCATTTAGTACACTCACAGTGTTGTGCAACCATCACTTCTATCTAGTGCCAACACATTTCCATCACCCACAAGGGGGACTCCACACCCATTACGCTGTCACTGCCCATTCCCTCGTGCCCCCAGCCCCTGGCAACCACTGATCTGCTTTCTGTCTCTGGCTTTACCTATTCTGGAAACTTCCTATACATGGAATCATACAATATGTGGCCTTTGTGCGTGGCTTCCGTCACTCAGCATCACGCTTTCAAGCTCATCTATGTCGTAGCATGCGCATACTTCATAGTGCGTTCCTTCTGGAGCCTGCAAATGGCTCGTTACCTGCGGCATCCTCCCCTTCTCTTCATTCACCGTTTTGCTACACTAGCCAGTCCTCATTACTGTCTCTATTATGCCCTCCTAACTGGTTTTTCAAAATCCAATCTCTCCTTTTGAATCCACTTTAAAACTTCTAGAAGCAAAGTTTAAACCCGTCAAGTCTCAATACTCCCGACAGCTGGTCAAATTCCAGACCCCCCCAGCCTGAAGTCATAAGCTGTCCAGGACCTGGCCCTGCCTCCCACTCAGGTCACGAGTCCTTATTGTCACCCACATTCCCACCAGGCAGAGCTGCTCACTGCTACTTGTATCTGAAGAAATCTTTCCTGCCCTTCTGCTTTCTCTTTTGCTTCTCTTAACTCCTTATCCTCTCTGCCTTCATTGATGTTCTTTCCTTTCCTGTTCTTATCTACATTCCAAATTCTGTCCTTCCTCCATGATCCAGCTCAAGGGCCACCCACTCCCTGAAGTTCCCCTTTCCATCTCTCTGTGTCACGCCTCACAAGTCTCAGGTAATGAACTCTCTTCCCTTCCAACTGCCTAGGAGAAGTTGTATGCACATGTTTCATCTCTACTCTGGATGCAAACTTCATAATCACAGAATTCTTTCCATCTTCACAGGCCCAGTCTTGCAATGAGGAGGCACTCACTGAGTCTGCTGAACAACAGACAGTAAGTTTGGCCACTGCTTGCCTTCATGATACCAACCAGCACGGAAGAGTGCTTTGGCCACCTCTGGGAATATTTGGCTCACTGAGGGCTTCTGGTGAGGGATCCCAACTCGTCACCCCTTCCTCCTAACTGGTTTTTAAGGAATATTGGTCCTTTTCAAAGACAGCAGAGGGGAAGGGGAGGTGGGAGGATCATATTTGGCATCTGCCGAATAGGACAAGATTTACAAAATTTCTCTTTTGGAATTCTGAAACGTCTCTGTACTGCAGAAATAATTTTTCCTATTGTGGCTCATCTAAACCAGCATAGCTTTTCAGGATGGACGTGCCCACACCCAGAGGATGAGATTAAATTCCTTGCCAGTCTCTGAGATACATGTTTATGCAGGCGTTTTCCTGCCCATCTTCTAGAAGGGAAAAGATAATGAGGTCCTCTTTTTGCCGTGGAGATGGTCTCCAGAGGGTCAGTGCCAAGCTGTGGTCCAAGGGTTCTGAGGGACTGTGAGGATGTTTCTTACATGGATCTAGGGGGCGCAGAACGAAGGAAGTAGGTTCTCTTTGGGCCTTAACAGGATTTCTCTAGAAAGGCCAGTGTGAGCAGCTCTAACTGAAGTGAGGGGAACATTAGCTAGCGTGCTGGGAGAGCCTTTGTGAAGATGTAGGTTTGCATAGGAGGCTGGTTTTCCACGTGTCCTCCTTTATTCTAGTTCTCTTCTCTCTAACCCCTGCACACCCCTCCATCTGCCCATACTGGAGATGGGTATGTGGGGAGCAAACTTGATTTTATCTGAATAAGATCTCTTTCAAAACAGATCTCTGGTTAATAATAATGTCCACACAGATGCCAGCAATTCTCATTTGGTTTGAATAACTAAAAAAATAAAAACAAAAACAGATGAAAAATAGGTCTGGTTGCTAAATTGCAAAAAAAAGCAACAACAAAAACAAGAGTTTTAGCTTTGAAACTACTCAAGATTGAAGTTTTTGGGGAAATGTTAGTATTTCCTACAAGTGGGGATTAGAGTACACACACAGTGGTGTCTGGCCCAGGTCATAATTAGGAAGATTGCGAATGACTGTAGGTTACTGCAGTGGCTTGGGCTTTGCTCGGGCCATGCACGGAGTCGCCTCCTGCTCTTCCTGGTGGATGACTGCTCTCCAGGTGCACACAGTGTCAGCTCCGGGTGGTGCGGCTCACTGAGCTTTCTGCCTCCCTGGGGAACACCTCCTGCCTGACCCTTTCGCCTGCTCACGCCTCCCTGTCTTCTAGCCTTCACAACTTCTTCACGGAGGCCTTTCGTCAGCCCAGGCCCCCCTCTCCTTGTGGCATTTCTCACCACTGTCATTTTACCATTAGCGCCTGGGTCATACCTGTTCTCCCCACCACACTAGAGACTTCCTGAAGGCACAGGATTGACATTCAGGTGAGTCCTGCTATGCCAGGCATTAACCTTTTTGCTGTTTGATTATGAGGAGGAAGTGGGGGGGACCCCTGGGGCCAGCTGCTCATTATCTAGGGGCACAGAAGGGTCGAAGCGCTGGAGCAACCAGCGCAGTGCTGTTTCCGTTTCCAGCCGCTAACGCGTCATCCGCTACGTAGCAGGTGCTCGGTAACGGTTTGTTGATGGGACGTTCTCCCTTTCCAAGGTACCTTTAAATGAATGATGTGCCCCTTGGAGACAATGCCCATGTCTTTCAAGTCTTCTTCCTCCAGAAGCAGCAGCCGCTTCCCCGTAATGTTGTTTTCTTTAAACAAGCTTGCATACACACTCATCTCTGCTGAAGAGTCACCTGAAGGAAGTGATTAGAAGACAGAACAAAATCAGACTAAATCATCTCCAAAGCAAAGTTAACTCCATGAATTAAGAAGGTAAAGTATTCCACTTGCCTTTTCTGACGAGCTGCTGAACCCAAAAATACTGTGAAAGAGAGGACATATTATGGTTTTGAAAATTCATACATGGTTAGTGTCCTGTCTTAACAGTAAAACATATCATTTTTAGTAGATTAAAATATCTTTAATTCCTGGCTCAGTCATGAAGGTATAAATGGAAGGTTTTCTCTTTGTAGTTTTAAAACCTTAAGCTTTCAAATTGGTGATATCCCTCCCCTTGCTGGTCTTGGACAGTTGAAAGACTGTTGGCTTTCCTCCTTCTTTGGGAGATATTTTAGTATGTTCTTACTTGTCGTGACTTTTCCCTTGAATTGCCGAGGGTCACGGGTTTACCCAGGAATTGAATGAGTAATAGGGACCATGCAGCAGTGGACAAAGGACAAAATGAGTCCTCTGTTCTAGGTCTGGTGAGTAAGTAGCCACGTGGCCCTGGACAAGTCAAAGCGCGGAGCTTCCTAAGTAGAATGCAGTTGGACCCATTGACCTTAGTTCTCATATGTCAGGTGGCATAGGTTTACCGGTGTCCTCCCACGTTACGTGGATGATGAGAGATGGACGGGAGGCCAGATGTACTCCCTCTGATTCTCTGGGGAGTCCTCGACTTTGGAATTTTATTTAAGTGGCCTGGAAACCACTCAACCTCAGAGCAAAGACTAAAAATAGCTGTTAGAACTCAGTGCTTTTCTAAAAATTTCTTTTCAGATGAGAAGCTGGGGATAAAGAGACCATATCAGGCCTGTGAATAAAGGAGACCCTAAGTCCTCTTTCCTTGTTAAGGAAGCCTGGCAGGAAAGTCAGAATCACTGGGGCTCAGTGAATAGGAAGAAATAGAGGCAACTGGTGCCAAGTTTCCCTACTCAGCAGAAGCCAAAGAGGTTAGCTCATGTTGAAAGCAGCTTTACTCCAGAGAACACGAAGGGCACAGAGGGAAAAGCCTGGGCCCAGAACCAGGTTGAGCTAGGCAGACGGACCTGCTGAAGAGTTTCTAAAAGTGAGCCTGGCCCTTGCGGCACCTGGTCTGCTCTCTGGGGTGGGGTTAAGGCTGGCTGTTACGTCTGTTTTTTTTTGTTTTCCATTTCATGACATCCTGAGCTTGTAAAATGGACCTGGACAGGCATAAGTCCCTGAGGTGTCTGATCGGGAATTCTCATTCCTGTTTTGTCACTACGGAAACAGATACAGGGATGCAACAGGCTAAGCAGCATTGTTCCTCAGGGTTTCTACCCAGAATGTGGAGTGTAGGGCTTCCTTTGGCCTTAGTTTGCCTGCAGCCTCTCGGAAACACGAAGCTTCTCTGGCTCCAGCTGCAGAGAACGTCTGGGCGTGCCCATGTCCACTGCTCCTCAGGAGGCCAGAGAAAGGATGGCGGCCGTGAAGCTGCCCCTTTCTGAACAGGCCTGAGGCGGAAGGAGACCTGGATCCGTGGTCGGGCAGCCCAGCACTGCCCTGACCAGAGCCTTCTCTACCAGGGGGCAAGTCCGTAACTGCCATTTTAATAGAACTTAAGATAAATTTTTTTCAAGTATCTTTATTGAGTGTATCCTGAGTCCCTACTTTAATTTCATCATTGGTATTAATCATTGTATTCTGGAATACTATCAGAGTAAATAGGGAGATAGAACCCTCATATAAGATTTGAAGAGATACTTGCTTTGCTCTTGAGACCTTATTTTCAATCATTTTTGTGTTTAAAATAGAAAAAATTGGAATTTGTCATCCTCTCCTAGTTAGACATTCCTAAAGCCCAAGCCCCTGTAGCAGCATTTTTAAACTTATGGACAAATTTGTGAAATACCTGCCCGGGTCACATGAGGCATTAATAGAAGCGGCTTACCACGTCGTCTTCCGTCCATGCACCAATCTCAAAGGAAGGCAGCAGCTGTGTGGAAAATATGCATGAAATGAAAAAAAAAAAAGAGTAATATCATTGTCTTTTGGGTTTATCCTCTTGTCTCATTTTTTTTTAGTTCTCAGCTGCTGCTCTGGTTTGGTTCCTCTTGCAGGTTAGGATGAATAGAAAACAATTTTCCTGACCTCAAGAGCAGCTCAGTGCTCCAAAGATTTTGACCCAGAAGCCAGTAATGTATATCAATCTCTCGGTAACAATTTATCGTAGTTTGGGAGCTATTTCAGGAGGGGCTTTGTACTACGTGGGGTATTCCTCTCTTGGAACATGGCACACTAACAGTGGTTTTGCCTCCCATGATAGGGCCTCGGCAGTCAAGGAATTGCTGACATTTGTCAAATACCAGAGCCTTCCTCAGAATTCTCAGCCAACATGAGGATTGTTTGATTATTAATGAAAATTCCAAAACAACCATTTGGTAACCAGATGATGCATCATGCTTATTCTCACAGGGGAGTTTCTAAGTGTTTAAATATCTCATTTGTGTTATATTTTTAAAACCAAATATCAGCACCCATGGATGAAGAAGGACATGTGAAATTGGCACTGTCCTGAAAAACCCTGGTTGCAAAGTTGCCCTAGTTAAAACAGATGCAAATATTTCCTTCAGGTCCACGGCGTGAATGACAACTCAGAGGACTTCAGCCTGCACCATTTTCAGAGCCAAAGAGCTCCTCACTTCAATATATGCCCCGTGGCCATAGTCCAAATAATAAATGCTTACATAATTTGAAACAGTCTGTGTCCTGTGAGTTGAATTACAGTTTGGTATAGCCATTAGCTTTAACTAGCTTACCTTGCCAAAGTGACCAGATTGTTCATGAGATAATGTAGCAAAGTGTCACTCATCCTCTGTTACAAATCATTTTTTTTTTGTAGGTGAGTTGAAAAAAAAGTTGAATTTGGTTGCTTTTACACTCAGTGTAAAAATCAGAGGGCGGGTGGGTTAATCCTTCTGAAGGTATTTATTTTTGTACACACGTGCTCAAAACTCTGCTAGGAAAGGCACAAGCCCTGCCTTCAAGGGAATTTTAATTTAATTGGGGGTGAAATAGGTATAGATTATACGTGCAGGAGTCCAAGGCCACCTTTATCTTGGTTTACTTAGTGCCTGGCATACAATATCTGGTTAATGTTTGTAGAATAATTTTGTAGAATGCATAAAATTGAAGAGTGCACTTAATGAAAAAGTATACCCAAACAGGTGTATTCACAGAAGGTTTCGAAGTACAACAGGGCAAGGAAGGGAAGGCAGGTGGCTTGAGCTGGGTGCTGCAGGGCAAGGAGGGGAGAAGCGACTGCAGCAACAAGGCAAAAACCTGGCAGGGAATGGGGGGAGTGTGGTGTGATCCCCTCACTGGGGCAGGGGAGGTAGCCCATTCGTGTCAGAGGAAGAGGGGGAAATGAGGCAGACTCTGGAGGACCAAGCAGAATTTTTTTTAAAGAAAAACCCAGTGGTTAAAATAAATATGAATGTGTAGAGTTTGAGTATTACAGACAAGTTGCAAGGACATAAGTATGCACTTTCACTGATGGAAAGTGCATCCTCTGCTACCCCATGTGCTCCACTCCTCCCTCAAGGGTTGCCCCTTTCCTCCTCTGAAACACTCAGATATGCGCAGGTCATCGAACACACCTGCTTTAGCAATGGGGAAAGGAAGAAGACTCAAGGAACCTAAAGCTGAACTTGATCAAAGACAAGTTTTATTTCTTCGCAGGGCAGCTGGACACAGCTGCAGAAACATGCCATTCCCTTCTCCCATCACGGAAGCAAATGTGAAATAAGGAATTTGTTTGATTAGTTCAAGAAACAACAGACTGAGTTACAGAAATATTTCCCTGCATCAAGGCTGGCTTTTATAGGAAGGGGGTGGGGGGGGAGTGTAGTGTTTTTATTTTTATACAATTTCCCAAATGTTGCACTGAACAAAATTGAGAAATAAGCATTTCTTGAATAAAGGTTGTAAATGAAACAACTAATCAAAACCAACATCTTTGGTTTTAATGTCAAAAGGAGAGGAGAAGAGTTCTCTTGCACACTGAGGCTGGCTCATCAATATGAAGCCAAGGGAAGGGCGCCAGACTCGGTCTAATACCCTCTGCACCAGGACTCTTCGCACCATGCTTGCAAAGATCAGTGGGGGGAAGGCTGGAGCCAGGCACTGCTTCCTGAGGGTTTGAATTTGGCAAGACAGGGGATAAGTTAATGATCTCCAGCCACACAGTGGCTTACCATTTCCTTTATGTTTCCTGTACCTTGTTAACATATCAGTGTATCTGCTGTAGGATGAGTTCTAAGCCTTTCTGTCTTTCTTTGGGGATAAAAAAAAAAATCCACCTCATGACTGCCCCATCACTTTACAGTATCATTATTTACACTCCAACTGACTTCAGGAGAGAAAAGCTAACACTCATGTGCGTGTGTGTGACAACGATTCCTTCAAAGGATGTTGGGAATCTAATCTAACAAAGATCTTATATACACAGCAACACATAACAATGGGATTTACTGTCAAAACGTTTATTGCAAAATGGAGTCTTAGAACAAAGGAAAGCAAAGAAAAAGTTCACATCAAAATGAAATGTATGACACCAACTTGGATTTCTGAATACATTGTGGACTTTGTGCTGGAATATCGGATTCCAACTATAAAATCAGTAACTGAATAGTCTTACCACACAAGAGTAAAATTTAATCTTCCATACAAACATTATACAAGATATTTGGCATAGGACTTGCTCAGAATAACATTGCGATAGAATAACCGAGAAAAAGTTTTTGTTAAAAAACAAAACAAAACAATAATGTGATAATGTCATCTACTCAAAGCTCACACTCAAAGAAGATAAATATTTTCTATTATTTAGTACAAAAAATTTAAAAGAGCACAAAAGCAGTATGCGTAGTGCATTGTATCTGACATTAAAAGATATACTATTCTGCACACAATATAAAATAATTAATGTAGGTGCTTGAAACTCTAGTTCTGAAGTAAATAATCACATGCCAGAAAGCTCCTCACCGGTTTGCACTTTGAGTGCAAGCAAAGTTGGAGTCTGAGGAAACAGGGCTAGTCCTCTAGATTTCTTGATAGACACTCATTTTTTAAATCACAGAAATGCTGCATCTAGAGCTGTCGGGCTATGCTACAATTCAAAGAATAGAACAGATTCTTCTCTCTGGCAATGCTTAAAACCTAAATAGGAAAACAGCCTTATTCAAAAGCAGCAAAAGGTGCCTGATTACAGAAAAAGTATGCTCTATTGTATACGTGGTATGGTGAGACTTCTACTTTTAAAAGGCTGCAACAAGTCTTGTGTAACACATTTTTAAAAAAAATCAATATTTAACTCAGAATAAGTTTAAAAATTATCTTTCATAAAACTCCTACCACGCTAATGAAAACTCTGAAAAATAAAGTTATGTACACAGTAGCACTATGAGAAGTCATTTTCGATCTCTCCTAAAGCCTCCCCCAACCCCAATTCCTTGATTTTTAATGGGAATCATTAAGGTCTGAATATCTCTGCTAGTGTTAAAGAATGACAAGTCCGCTGCATGTTAAAAATCCCTGGCTAAAAACCCGCCCTCAACATTTCCAGAGCATTAAAAATAGCAAGCTATGTGCCTTCAGCCTCTTCCTGTTGGTTATTTATGTAAAATATTAAAATGTCATTTTGCTTTAAAAAATGGTAGGAAAAGAAGTCTTTTTCATTAGCCTGGTGACTTTGCAGAATTGTAGTTACCTCAACAAGATATTTCTTTCTTTCTTTCTTTCTTTCTTTCTTTCTTTCTTTCTTTCTTTCTTTCTTTCTTTCTTTCTTTCTTTCTTTCTTTCTTTTTTTTTTGTTTTGTTTTTAAATTGTGGAATCAGTGTAGAATGAGAATGACTTACCCAGGTGAATTTATCTATTTCATAAAGTTTCCACCAGCATTCTTCAGGGGAAAGAAACCCTTTTCACACATGGTGATTTAAGACAAGGCCACAAACTCACAAAATTCAGATTGTGTAGTTGTAATTCTAAAACTACATTTTTTGACTTGGATAATTTTGTGGGGAGGAAAATAATTAGATGTGAAACTCTGAAACTGCCAGGTTTAACAAGTTTCTCTATGGGGAAGGGACAATGCTGTTGGTATTTTGAACGGGAGTCTTCACTGAGGGGACTGTCCCTGGTAAGCAGAATGTTACCATTCCTGGCACAAGGCACCAAATGCTGCCCTAGTCACCATGACAACCAAAAATATGCCCCAGTGCTCCTAACACCATCGGATGACAGTACTGCCCCAGCTGAGAACCACTAGTAGGGGCTCATCAAAATCTACAGGATCAATTTTACATTTCCAGTTGCATGACTCTCAAAATTTTGTTTACATGATGCAGATTTCAGGGATGTTTTAATATTTTCAAACCACTAGAAGGACGCTCATTTGGAACAGAAAGTAAAATAGCCAATGCCACCTGGTGATGATCTACAGTCCAGTGCTAGGTGGAAACCAATTTCAAGCTGCTCACTGAGGCCAATGCTGCCATATCCTAAAGCCTTGCAGTTTCTTGATGGTAGAGTTTTGAGCTATGACCATCTCTGAAATACTGGTGAGGAGAATGGCAGCAGTTAAGAGGTGAGGGAAATGCTGCCTAATAAATGGTAAACATAGTCTGGGTATAAAATCCTGTTATTAAATACTTTTCTCTTTGGCCCTATTTGGCTGCTTTTATTAATGCATCAAAACTTTATGTATAATCATATGAATTTATATGTAAATGAAGAAACAATTGTCAATTTAATTCAGTTCATGTGTTCTAAATTTATTGCAGATCATTCTTAAATGAGAAGAAGCAAGGTTTACATTCTTACATAAAGTGCACAGGTCCCAAAATTATCCCACAGAGATCACCTCACCTTTTTCAGCTTTGCTCCTGACCATGCTTAAAAAACCTCAATGAAATGTGTTGAATGAATGACTGCATCTTTGAGAGAGAAGATGTGCAAGAGGCTTTTAAACCTTTGGCTCTTTCCTCTAAGAGGCTTGACCAAGGTGCCCCAGGGCATGCTGGGAAGACAAGAGTTGCAAGCGGTCCCTTCTGTTCCACTCCACGATTTTCTGCTTGAGTGGCCTGACATGAGTCACGGAGTACTGTTCTATGTCTGAGCACAGATAGGCTGCCTATTTATGTGTGCATGCATCTGTAACTATGTGTGCATAGACAGAGAAACTGTAGCAGAGTAGGTCTCTGTGGAGCCCATCTTCCAGGGAAAGGTTTACCTACTCTTTCTGTATTTACTTAGCCTGCAAACACTTCAGCACAGGTAAGCCCAGCCAGGGCTCATGGTTTTCAAAGAGCAATAGAACATATCTGTTTGTATAGCTTGCATTCTAAGAATGTTCTCTTTATCTTTCCTGAAAGCTATCCACTTTTAATTTCATCTCATGCTTCTAAGCAAATACCATTTGAAATCGATAGTTTAGTTCTCTCAAAGGTTCCTGAAACCATTTATTTTTCAGTGTCTTTTCAGTGACACAGTTAATAGTAGCTAACATTAACTGGCCACTTACCATGGGCCTGGTACTCTGTTAAGTGCTTTACATATATTATTTCTTTTAATCCTCACAATAATCCTTTCAAGTAGGCACTGTTATTATTCCCATGTCAAAGATGAGCAAACAGACACACAGAGATTAAATAATTTGTCCAAGATGTAGAGCACGTAGGCCCAGGGTTCCGAATCATGATCAGGTTCCAGATCCCTCTTGATCACTATGCTATATAGACCGGCTTACTCCTCACGCCCAGAACATCCCCTCAGTTATTTCTCTCCAAATAAAGCTGGCACAACATACTGATCATTTTGCGGTATTTTTCAGCTTGCAATGGGGATTAGAAGCATGTCACGCTTCAAATTCCAAGAGTCTTTTTATGATCAAATACAGTTAGAAATACTATTAGATAATATCTGTGATGATGTCCTCCTTAAAACGTCCATAAAAAGAACCACCAGAAGTATTTTAGTTTAATAGGCAAATCAGTAACACCGCTTTCTAATTTAGACTGAAAAAAAAAAAAGTCTTTGTTCTTTTGCCTTTCTTTATGTAAGTGTTTTATATAACTTAAACAAGCTTTGGCAAACATGTGGCAACATTCTGAGAGTATCTCTGGCTAGCCAGGTTTTCAGAACAGTACCTGTTTCTATCAAACACTTCTCGAAAACACCAGCATCACCGAGCATGGTTTAAACAAAAAAGGCAACTCTGGAAGGCTAGATTTGATCTAGAAATGACCTTTCGGCCTGTGCTTTTGCCTGTGCGAGGATAACATATCTTTACTATTGTTCTAATAATATTTAATTTCCTCTTTAAAATATCTACACATAAACTTAGAATCCGGGATTATTATGCCCTTCTGGAACACAACCAACCAACCAAAAACAGCCCCTTACTAGAAGTACAGGGCAGGCATGTACCCAGCACTCAAATGCCTGCAAATGTCCCTTACTACCGTATCTTTCTCTCTGTATAAAGCGTAAGTTAAGTCTTAAATGACTGTGTGTTATTGTTAAGAAGCTTCCAGGGCCAGCACTGGTATGAAAGCCTGCAACATCTGCCGTTGGTTTCAAATTAGAATATTTCTCCTTCAAATATACTGCCGAGAACACTCCTCAGGTTTTACTTTGAGGAGTTGTGCTATTTAGTATTAAAAATGCTCAGCATTTAGGTATTTCTGAAGAGCATTTTGTTATAATTTTCTTTCATCTCAGTATTTTTGTGGTTGAATTCTGTAGTCAGTATCACTCATTTCTGACATTACAATGTATTAACATAAGGAAAACAAATGTATGTTACAGAAGAATCAACTGTCAAAGAAGAGTTAGGAATTAAGAGTACTTGTTCAAAATGTAGGTTTTCTTAACCAATTGAATAAAGGAAATGAAATAAAGTCAAATACAAACTATAAAATATTCATTAAAAAAGAAAAAGCCAGAATGTCATTAGTTAAAAAATACTATATTGTACACAGAGTCACAAATTTCTATAATCAGGCACCACATTGGCTGATTTGCAAATATACTTTTTTGGCTTAATTTTTTCCCCTATTTTTTTGTAAGCAAAATAAATCCAAAGTAAAACTGATAAAGAAATTACTGTCTTGTAAATGTGATTGGCCTAAAGCTGTAGTGCTTGGTTTTCTGCCTCCTTACTGGTTTTTGTACAGACTGAAATAACAAGTTACTTTTGTTTTTGCACACATTTTCAATTTTATTACTTTGCTTTCTGCTTTCATTCACTATTACTCTCCATGTCATTATCCTCCTCCTCACCATCATCATCATCATCATCGTCACCTTCTGACAAGTCAAAATCACTGAACCCCAGGGCCATGTTGACTTTCTTCCCCCTTCTCTTAGATGTGGTTTTGGAAGAATTCTGCTTGGCTTGCATGTTTATCTGCATCCCAGAATGCATCACGGCTCCTGCTTTGTTCATTGAGAAGATATCCCCAAAGCCCATCAGCATCATGGCCTGCAGACTTGGGTTCATGCCATGGCCCTCCCCATTACTTGTTGCTGTGATCTGACATGACATCTCTGCACTGTTTGACTCCTCTGTTTTAGATTCAAAGTAAGACTCCTCAGACAGTCTTGCAGCAAGAGGCAAGAGAAGCTATCAAAAGGGAAGAAAGGACAGAAGTAAAAAGAGAAATTAGGACCAATTTTAAATAAGGAAAATAGACACCACAAAATTAGCTGGTACTACACAGGAGGTAAATGATTAGTGAAATAAATGAATGTAGGGAATTATGTGAGAATTTATTTAATGGCAGACTTGGATCCAGCATATTTGCCATAATTTATGAATGACAGAATAAATCACAATCCGAAGTTTGCAAAGCACCATAGCAAGCCAAATTTCAAATGGAAAGGAAGTTGCAAGTTTTAAGCCCTTATTTTGCTTAAAACAAAATAGTTCTTAGGATATCTCTTAATTATCCCCCAATTTCACTTTCACACAGAAACATTTGTTAACCATTAAAGAAAAGAAATTAAACAGATTAAATCTCAAATAAAAAATTAAGAAACCATGTACCAAAGAAGAAAAGCTTAGAGGAAGCACAAAAACAGTTCAGCAGTCAAGATAGTCTAAGGAAATTTGAGTTGTTAACTACCTTTTTAGCTAGACTAGTAGTCTGACTCTACACTAAAAATGAGTTTAAAATTAACTTTTTTCTGTTTATTATTTATTACAGCCAGATCTGATTTAATACTATTTATTCAAATTATTAAACAATTCATTTGTCAACAAATTCTAGATTGCCTCTTACATTTAAGTTATACACAATTACATAAACACATGTGAAAATTGGGAAGAAAGGAAAGTAGTATTATTGTTATCTTCCTATGTTCTCTAATATTCAAGTTTCCTTCATTTAACATAACTTTTTTCCTAAGATTTCTTCTCACAATAGTTACTGACATTATTCCCTATCTTATGTAATTACTTTGAACAGCCAACCTAGTCTTATAAATGTTTGCTCATATTCATTTCAGGGGTAAAACTGTTAGAATATGAAAAATGTTACTGCCTCTTCTTTTGAGAAACAAGCAAATTAAGGCTTGTATTTTTGGTGCGGTTTAAATATGGGTACATTTATGATAAGCAATGTACAAATAATATAATTCTGGGATGATCTTATATTCTGGGTGTAAAGGTACTTAATATTTAGAACCAATTCCTAATTTTTAAATTGAAGCTGAGTTTTAAAAAAGCAGCTTCCTCTATTGAAAAAGACTCTTGGAGTTGTTAGTTCAATAATAACTTTAATTTCATATAATTCAACCAAACAGTATCAGTTATATGGAAGAAAAAACTGCTTTAGATCCTTAGACTTTGGAAACAGGAGATTATTTTCCCTTGCAGTCAAACTTGTTAGCTTTTCAAATTTGTTTTTAATTGTTAGACACTATCAGGAACTCTTTGTTGCTTACTCAGTTTTATTATTTCAGGGGTGCTTCTTCACATTAGGTTAGACTCAAAAGATCTCAACAAATGTCTCTCAAATAAGCCTGTATTCTTCAAAGAAATAAAATTTTTACCTCAAGCTTAACCTATAATTAAAAAATAAACATTTCCATGTTTATTCATAAAGAATTCATCTTTCCAATTATCTTTAATGTTTTAGTTTTAGGAAAGAAAATAGTATACTTGAAATTAATTCAATAATATAATTTTTTATGAAGTTACATAAATGTTATAAACTTTTATAATTAAGATGAGGCCACACACAGAAAACCTAAATCTCTAGCTACTTCCTTTTTAAAAGGTTTATTTTTTCTCTCAGAAATCTCAGTTAAAGTCAAATAAAAACTGATGTGAGGATAAAAGAAAACACCTACTTAAAAAATATCTGAGCATAAACTTTCCTTCTTTCAGAAATACCAGCTCTAAGCAAGAGAGACATTAAAAGCAAGTACTGCAAAGAAAGAAAACTTATCCCTCATAAGGAAAAAAAGGAAGAAAGTCTCATTCAGCTTGTGCTTTATGCTGTCCATTGTTAGATGGTGACTCTCAGAGCAGTCAGTTCCTTTACAGTAAAGAAAGTTTTCTGGAGTTAAAAATGTAAGCATACTGAGCACTCAGAGCATTTTATTATTTATTGCACAACCATGTTACTAATAGCAATAATGTGTGCAAAGCAGTCCATAATTTCTTAGAAAAACTGATGCCAATAAACTAAAGAAAGGTTCTAAAGCGTACTCTAATCGGTAGTTTAAAGTTTTTTCTTACAATACTACTTATAGAAAGAGTCAAGCCATGCAGTGCTTTATTGCTTAAGATTTCAATGCATTTAAAAAACAAAACAAAACAAAAAAACCTCCCAGACTTCAGAAGCCATGCTACAGAGACAAGGTCTCATTCTGGCTCCTGCTCCATCCACTCAGGGAAAAGTGGGGCTCCTCTGCACATCCTAGGGTGATGCTTCCCAGTCTGCCTGATGGCACCAAGCCAAGCAGAGCAGGAAACTTCCCTGGTCCTCTTTCTCAAGAGCCAAGTTAAAGTCATGGAACTTACACCATTTTAATGTTCCATGATAGTCTCGTGTATAGCAATTCCATTGTTATTATGGAATTCTCTGGATCAAAGTCATTTTTGAAAAAGTTAAATCTGATAATAAACATTTAACTTCATTGTATTTTCCTTTTTTGGATATCATGTTGCTTTTCCACACATGTTGGAAAAGGAGACAAGCTATTTTATTCTTTAGACATTGGGAAATACTTTGCAATTGGGCATTGCTGCTTAATGGAGATTAAGAATTTAAAAAATGGGAAAGCTTCTTAAAGATCACAAAATGAAAGGCATTTACGTATTTTTTAAAGTATAATTGCCATAGCAACTATCAAAAATGAATTTAAGATATATAAGTTTACTTTTAATCTACCATTACTTATAATTTTAAGTGAAAAAATATTGCCCATTAAAAACCAATTATACATTTATACTTAAATCCTGAAAATGGCATGCCATTTAAAATATGGAAGAGTGTTGAAACTTGATTAGACTTTCATGTATCATATCAGCATGTAAGCTCAAGGTGTGTATAAATAGTTAAATTGTTAAGAAGAATTTTTTTATTTTTCTAAACATAAGACTTGGGAGAAAACAAGAGATACATCCTAGGTGTGGTAAATACTGGAGACAGCAGTCTTTTTCCAGTCTTTTGCTGCCCATGATCACAACACTAAATTGAGTAAGGAATATTAATGCTTGCCGTCAGGTTAGCTCTATTTTAGAAGGACGACGTGGTTAGGTTCTGATGCACTGAAGACTTTCTTAGTCAGTTAGTTGCCTTGTTGTTACATTTATTAGTTACTCATGGACCATAAAGAGTTAACCAGCACTGAGGTGCATGTTCTGGAGATCTAACAGATGGTGTGAAAATACATCGGATTTTATTTTTGTTATTCTAATATACCAACACACTGACAGAATAACAGTTCTTAAGGAAACAGCCAAAAACGGGATAAGCTTTTCATTTAAATTTCTGGCATTTTGTTAATTGAAATGAGATATGAGCACTACTGGATAATAAATGCAGCCCTCTAACACACAGGCAAGTCAGGACAGGAAGAGGTGGCAGTGTGAGGCAGAAGGGGTGCCATGCTGCCATGCTCGGCTGCACTTCCTAAGAGCTGCATTTGGCAAGATGGCGAGGGGCAGAATACTCACCGGGGTGTTGGACTGCTCTGTCAGCTTTTGTTCCCACATCTTTAAACGTCTTTCTCGTTCTTTAAGCTCCTGCTCTTTAAAGCTGAGATCGCGCTCTAGTTTCTTTAGCCTCTCAAGAGTTGCCTCGATTTCACACCTGCACAGGGATAACTGATGTAAGTCTCAGCTTTACTTAAGAGGTATCACTCATTAAAAAAAAAGAGAGAGAGATAGGGTCTCGCTCTGTAGCCCAAGCTGGAGTGCAGTGGGGTGATCGCAGCTCACTGCAGCCTGAAACTCCTGGGCTCAAGCAATCCTCCTGCCTCAGCCTCCCGAGTAGCTGGAACTACAGGTGTGAGTCACCACACCTGGCTCCAGCCTAAGAGATATCAAACTCTTGGTGGTGCATCAGAATGCTCATCAAAGTAAAAGACTAACACTTGTGCTTTTAAACCAATCAGGAAACTACAAGAGAAGAAGAAATCCTTCATATTCTTAAAAATCAACAGGTAGTTTCTAGTTGAAAAAATAAACTCAAAATATTTCAACAAAATACTGAAGTGCCACTGAGGTGCAGTGTAAGTTATGGAGCTTGTGTCCCAGTTCAGCCATGTAATAAATACTTACATTCATCTAGCTCTTTACAAAGCACTAGTATATATTATTTCATCTTATTCCCATAACAGCCCTAAGAAACAGGTACTAATCTCATATAACATAATAGATGGGAAAACAACACTCAGGTGATCAATATCACGCCATCAGTGAGTGGTTGAGATGATACTTTAGACTCTTCATTGGCTGAGTAACCCAAGCAACCAACTGATTAACCTGACTCAGTTTCCTTGGTTGTAAGGGGTGATAGTTATATTACATTAGGGCTCTCCAACTTGCTGGATCCTAAGGCTTACCTAGGCAGGCTGCTTGTTAAACAAACAAACAAACAAACAAAAAAACACCAAAGGAACCAAAAAAACCAATAAAATACAGATTCCTAGGACCCTTCCTTGAAGCTCATGATTTAGCAGGGCTGGGTGGGGCCTAAAACATTTCATTATTTAATAAAAGACCCAAGTAATTTTTACAATCAGGCAAGTATAGGAAAACCTGGGTTAGATTAATTCTGAGGCTCTTTTTAACTCTAATATTAATAATTTTTATTTTTCTAAATTTTATTTCAGCATATTATGGGGGTACAAATGTTAAGGTTACATATATTGCCCATGCCCCCCTAATATTAATCATTTTTAAAGGAAGGTCTCTCCTTAGTCTCTGTAGGCCGACCTCCCTCACCTCTGGGGACAATATGCCCTGTTACGGAAACCTGTCCCGCACAGCAGTCGGGACAGCTGAGACGGCTCGGCACAAACTCTGTATCCTTCAGAGCTGTCACAACGTTTAAGTCTAAATTTATGCTCTGAGAACTGGAAGTTCTTCCCCTTGGGTTTCTCAAGAGTCTGTGAGTATCAGTGATGAGAGAATGAGAGAGTGGGAGAGAGAGGTCAAGGCTAGAGAAGGCACCAGAGAGAAGAATCTGGAAGAAGGAAAGGCCTGGAAATAGAGAACTGCCGTAGAGTAGTTGCTTAGTGCTGCCAGCAGCTGCTTCCAGGTGCCCCCGAGACGACCCCCGTTACAGCTGCACAATCACGGTTCAGACGCTGACTACGGCAGGTACAAGCCCCACGTCTAAGTTAGTGAGTATATGTGATCAAAATCTGCCTTTTTCTTTCCGGGGAAAATCAGAATAAGTGAATGGCTCATTCCAGTGCTCATACAGATGAGAATTAAATGAATGAAAATGAAAAGGTTCTGGCTATTATCTGGTGAGACCCAACTCAGGGAACAGCTAGGGAGGTGGGTCGAGATTTGGGCCCAACACTTCACTTCCCTGCCTGTCTGAAAAGCACCTCAGCGCACGGTCGCAACATAAAACATTAAACGTAAAACATTAAACATAAAACGCATCTGCTGCTCTGCCCACAAATATCAACGCTCTGTCCCTGCCACCGGTGCCATTTGGAAAATCATTAAAGGATATAGGCAAAGTCACATTACAGTCCCTCAAGAAAGACACTAAATCAGCTATCTTTCAGGATTACGACTGTCATAAAATCCAAATGTTAGCCTCGATATTTCTGACAAAAATGTGTCCAGTCACATAAACAAAAAAATGTTTGCTTTTATTTTTCAATGAAGGATTGAGGGGGAAAAAACAACCTTAGGGTAAACTTTTGTCACAGAAAAGGAAAGGGCAAGCCATCTTTGGCCACTGAGAGTCAGAGGTGACAAGAAGGCAGCAGAGCCAGGCGGGCCCGCGGGCCAGCTGGCAGCAGCCTGGGCCGTGGTCTACACAGCGCTCCTGCCAGCAAGACTGATCTCACCGGTGTTCTTTTTGATCAGGGTAAATGGTCAGCACCTTCTATTTCACTTGTAATTTAAGCCAAGGATTCATCTCAAGTTCCAGCCCCGGGAGCCCACTGCAACCGTGAGCCCTTCTGGAAAACAGACCAACAGCTAAATAAGCTGAAAGCTGTGGCACAGAAGCCCACAGTGAGGAAATGTTCAAAATCGTCTCCTCAGGCCCAGCTTCCCAACACTGCTTCTCCGACCCCAGACCCTGAAATGGAGCGAGGTTACATGAGAGATGCAACCCAACCTGGAGACGACACAAACACAGCCAGCCGCGGCCCTCACCGGTTTTTGCTGGTGCATTGTTTTGTATCAAATGCATTTGTTAACGAATTTATATAACCTTCCTATTCTAAAAATATAGTTTCAGTGTCTTAGTTGATGAAAATTATGATTTTCTCTTAAACCAAATCCAACACAGTCAATTTCGACTAGTATAAATTTTCCATATCCTAAGAACAGGCAATGAACGGTAATTATCTTCTTTCGTCACACAAAAACTTACTTTGAAAGAAAAGGTCAATTGGTGGTAAAAGGAGTGATACAGCATGTATATTATATGATAAATATATATGTATTAAATTTAGTGTGATATATTACATGATTTGTGCTAACATCCAAATTGCAACGATTACATTTTTTCATCTCTGCTTTTTTGTTTTTAAGAAGGCATGTCATGGTGAGAGTACTTGGTCACCGAGGAAAAACAACCAAAGAAGTACTTTGCCAAGAGACACAGCTCTGAAAGCTCATTGCAACACTGCCTAGCTCACCCACTGCCGAGCACCACAGGTCTGCAGGCAGTCACATGGGCTGATGAAAATTGAAAACAGGACCAAAGGGATGATACATTTTCTGTTCTTAATGCTCATTGTCATTACTGCTAATAAGTCTACAGGAAGAGAAACAAGCTGAAGTTCTGATGAACAAGGATGGGGCTGACCCTAGAACTCTTTCCTATCACTTATTAGGTCAAAGGAAATAACATAGTTTATGCGGTTTTTAATAATTTAGTTTTAAAAAGAATTTTCAGAATAATTATTCGGTTTTCTAAAAATACAAGTTCCATCTGGCCGATGCTGTAGAGGAAGCTCTACCAGAAAACAATCATTTGCCAGAAACATCACAGCAGTATTGGAGTCAGACTGCACTGTGACTCTAATTTACGAAAACACCAGTCACATGGTTTCAGACACCAGACAAAAGTTGGGAGAAAGAAAAGCATCAGTGTTGTCCTTTGGAATATCTGGTTTATCTAAGAAAAACACATACTTCTTTTCAGCACATTGCATATTGGGCTAGGCAGACTTTTTGCCTTAATGATAACCTGAAACAATCATGCTTTGTAATATTTCTCCTAGCTAAAAAGGAGCCTAGTCAAGTGTAGACTGCATGCCAACAAGTAGACAGCACGACAGTGGCCGCAGGTCTAGCAAGAGCGCTGCACAGCACATGGCAGGAGCAGGCCCGCGGGGCAGACCACCTGGGCTCCACGCTGGCTCTGTCTCAGTGCTGTGTGCTCTCGGGCAAGTTACCCAACATGCCTAGGCCTCAGTTTTTGCATCTGTGATATAATTTAGGGTTGCTATGGGGATTAAAAAAGATAATCCAAATGAAGTACAAGCATCTGGTAAGAACCTAATAAATGACAACTGTGTTTATTATTATTATAATTAATATAATTATTCCCCATGTTTTTAACCATTTGCCAAGTTCAGTTAAAACAGCTCTGCTGCTTCTCAAGCTGTGGTTTACTGTATGCCTTTTACTAAAATATATCAATGTATTTTACCTCATTTTCCCCCATCCTGAATTACCAACTTTATTCCTCTCATTTTTCATCTTCGAGCTTTTTAAAAATTGAATTTATCATTCAACTAATCCAGGCTTGATGTAGAAAAAGTAGAAAATAAAGATGTACAAATAGAAAACACTCTTCCATAATCCCATTCCCCAATGATAATACTTTATGATACTTTTCTCTATATACACATAAATATATATTTTATAAAAAATGAGTCATTCTAAAGAAACTACACTGTAGTCTCTATTTTTAAATCATCATCAGATCTGTGTTATCAAAATGGCTCCATATTATTCTGCCTATGGAGATAGCATTTTTTAAAGCCATTTCCCTTTTAGTGCACTTTATGCCACCTCTAGTTTTACATTTTTAAACGATGCTTTGCTGAACAACTGTCCATACATTTTTGCATAGCCTTCCCATTTATTTTCTTAGGAATAAACTGGTAGTGGTAGAGTTTCTAGGAAAAAGAATATGAACATTTTTAGAGCATCTGATCTACGCTGCCAAACTGTCATCCATAAAGGTAGTATTTTCCCACCAGGAACGTATGAGAAAGCCTATAGCTTTGGAGATTTTCATAATGTGTATTTTTGCCAATCTGATAAATTAATTATGCTTTCTTATACTTATTTGATTGCTAAGTGAGGATGAATATTTTTCATATGTTTATTAGCTATTTGATTTCTTCTTTCATTCCTTTTTATGTCTTTTAGTATGATAGTTCAATTAAAATATTATTTTTAAAGCTAGAAACTCTATCGCAGCAATATTCAATGTGTAATCTGGAGACCCATGAGACCTTTTTAAAGGATTCTTGAGGTTAAATTGTTTTTGAGAATAGCACTAACACAGCATTTGCCTATTCTGCTGTCATTCTCTCACAAGTGTACAGAGTCTTCCAGAGGCTTCATGACATGTTGATAGTACCACAGGCTGAACACAGAAGCAGGATTATTGTTATTTAAATGAATCAATAAATACATATTCAAATTTTTCCTCTGTTCTAATTTTGAATGTGGTAAATATTGACAGATATAACTCATTTAAACAAAAGTTTTTTGGTGCTCTCAATAATTTTTAAGAGTGTAATGGAGTCCTGAGACCACAAAGTTTGAGAGCTGTAGATCTATCATATAGGGGGAAAAGTTATAACAGTATGTCATTTGTCTTGGAAATTCATTTATGATGGGTATTACTTTTGGCCAAGTGGAGGTTTTAAATTTTTATGTAGAAAATTTAACCAATCTTCTGCCTGCTTTCTGATTTTGTCGACATACTTTAAAAGACTCCCTATGTCAAAGGTATTAGTATTAACATTAAGATCTTACTAGTCCCTATTTGATCCCTAAAAGATCAAATAGCATTTCCTCTAGGAATCCTTTTATTATGTCCTCAGACTAGATCAGATTTTATAGTTACATGCTCTACATTACACATTTAGTACTTCTGTCATATACCTAACAAAATAATGAGATAGTTTTTTTGTAAATTTATATTTAATGATTTAATACTGGACACTCCTGCCGGAGAGCTCCATGTGCACCGGGACTGCTGTGCTCTGTGCTGCAGCCCGCACCCAGAACAGCACTAGCGGATTTCACACCAGCAGAAGTTCAACAAATGAATGATGAATGAACGAATACAAAAAGCACTTTTGTCATGGCAAACAAATTAACCTACATATTTATATTCTTTTAATATCATAACGTCTTTTTATATTATTACCACTATGGTATTTTCTTCCCTCCTTCCCCAGTATTTACTGAGCAAATGCTGTGTTCAAGGCACACTCTAGATGCTGTGGGTATGGCGATGAACAGAAGTGACTGTCGGTCCCTCTTACATTCTAGCCCGTGAGACACACACTGAATAACTGCAGAATTGATTCCAGTAGCAGGGAAGGCTGTGAAGGAGACGCTCTCAGAGCACATAGAGTGGGACCTGACCTGGCCTGGGGTCAGGATACGCTTCTCTGAAGACGCTGTTCGGTTGCTGTCTGAATGGCAAAGAGCAGCCAAGGCGGGGTGTGGGTGGCAGAGGCGGTATGCAACTGAAATGGGATGAGTTTTAAAGAGAAGAAACTGCAATTGCAAAGACCCTTAATAAGGGAGAAATAAGCATCTGTTGAGGGATTAAAAGCCAGAAATTAAGGGGCAGAATGATGTCCTTAAGATGCGGCGGCTGTTGAGGCCAGAGTACAGAGGGTCTTACGAGTCTTCTTAAATATTTTGGTCTTTGTCTTAAGAGTGTTGGGAACTCATATATGGATTTTAAAGGGTGTGATCTGATTAGATGTGCACTGATCTCTTACTGTACGACATGAATATTACCTATATGTCTTATTAAGAAAAATGTCCCTCATACCTAGATGTGAGCTCACAGTATTACTTTTGTGTCTTTAAATAAAAAAAAATCATTTAACCCACTGGCCCTAGATAGATATTTCAAAGGAATAAAAGTAAATCATGTTATTGTAAAACACCAATCAAACAGAAAGCCCAAAGAAATGTCTAATAATACGAGTAAACAACTCAGTTCCTTTTCAAAGTGCATGCAGTACTCGTTTGGCATCAGCAGATGGCGTAAGGCGTCACGTTCCCACCATGGCTATCAGGGACGGAGTTGAAGTTACTTACAGTCTCTGCTGAGTCAGGGCAGGAACAATGTCAGCTTCCAAACATGCTATTTATATTCATGGAGCAGGTGACCTGGCTAAAATGTTTCATCCTGAGCTTACTTTTCCACTCATACAATTCTCCATTACTAAGTTTGTTTTGCACTTTATAAATTTTAATAGGATTTATAAAATCCAAAGTTTTCTTTTAAAAGTGTTTTTATAGTCTCCCTACCCCTCCACTAGCATTTCCCATGCTCTGCAAATATCAACGCAAATGGCATTCTTTTTTTTGAGACAGAGTCTCCCTCTGTTGCCCTGGGCTAGAGTGCAGTGGCATCATTCATAGCTCACTGCAACGTCAAACTCCTGGGCTCAAGGGATCCTCCTGCCTCAGCCACCTGAGTAGCTGGGACTACAGATGTGTGCCACCAGGCTGGCTAATTTTTTGTATTTTTAGTAGAGACAGGGTCTCACTCTTGCTCAGGCTGGTCTTGAACTCCTGGCCTCAAGCAATCCTCCATCTCGGCCTCCCAGAGTGCTAGGATTACAGGCGTGAGCCACTGCACCGGGCCAAGCATTCTTATTGCTTACTGGACAGAAGCCAAAGCATCCTAACAAAGAGTTAGGAAGCTGTATACAAAGAAATGTCTGGTAACCATCTTTTGTCTCAGAAGATATGATTTCAATATTCTCTCCAAATACTTAGACATATAATAAGGCAACAAGCTTAGAAAAACATTCTTTTTTGCTTACATATGAAACGAAGGACATACTGTATCTCCCAAATCCTTTTAAAAATGTTTTTTTCCTAAGCTATGCTTAGATATCAGGACTGTCATCAGGGCTTCTCATTCCCTTCTTCACTGAGACTAGTCATGGACTTTGGAAGCCAGAGGTTGTGGCTTTGTGTCAGGGCTACCCACCTCCACTCTGCCTTGTTGTGCAGGAATGAGTTACACTGGTCAGGAAGGTTTGTGTCATTTGACATAGACTCCAGAATTGAAATGATTTGCTTGAATGATGGCCGTTTCTGCAGAAGAGAAAATAAGTAATCACTTGTTGGGACTTAAGAAAGGAGATCTTTAAGAGAAAATGTAGACATCCACAAGCTCAGTGATAAGCTCAATCCACCAAAACAAAACATGATATAATGTCTTGATTTAGTTATTTGACAATCACCAGACCACTCAGGTTTAGAGAACTGTATTCTTTATTTTCAATTAATTATTCATAAGGATAAATTCAGATACTGTTTTTCTACTGTGTGGCCTAAGATTGGGATAATTAGTGTTTCTCTCCAGGTAAAGAGAATACTAATAATCTCTTTTGGTTATGATTAAGGATTCCTAAAAGGAAAACATCCTTTAAAAATCTACCTATGTGATAAAGCTGGTAAAAATTAATGGCAGAGTCTGTGTGGTGGGTATGCTAGTGTTCACTGTAAAATTCTATGAACTTTTCTGTATGTTTGAAAATGTTTATAATAAAATGCTAGGGAGAGGGTCTACCTCTCATCCATTGCAACTAATGAAATTTCCCAGATAAGTCAGAAAAAGACAGTCACCATAACATCACTATTCTCAATATTTATTTCATGTCATAACTAGCTTTAGTGCTGGGACACGGTAAGGTGCTGTTCTCTAGAGATGAGCAGTGGTTAAAGGTATTTCCTGAGCTAGCAGTAACTACACTAGTCTATCTCTTTAGGCTCTAGCCAAGGTTGAGACAAAAGGTTAAAACAAAAGGGGAGAGAGATAATAAAAAGGATGATGCACATTCTCTCTTCATCATGCCTCATAATTATACCATTTCTGAACAAATTATAGTTGCAGCAATTAAAACATGCATTTTAATTTAGCAGCACAAAAACAAGAAGGAACAATGTTGGGGTGGCTTGCTCTCAGGACTTGAGTGCTTCTTACATTATTAAGAAAAGCAATTTTTCCACTTCTCAGAAATCTAAAACTGGGGTACTTATTGAGTTCTGCCATCATTGTTCTCTTCCAAGTGCACGTGCACACGTGAGCATAGGCTTTAAGCAGAGGGCATAAGTAGCTACATGTTACTGATGTACATTAAGCCTTATAATATACAAAGTCTATAATAAACAAAGAGGAAAATGCCCTAAGTAGGAAGCTTGAAAAATATTCTGTTTATCTTCTTTAGTTTTGTTCTCATCTTAATTTCTCCCATACTGTGTCAGGTTCTAAAGGAAAACTATTTTACTTGTTTGTACAGGAACTAGTTACATAATACATAAAGATTTTTCATTTTGCAAGGAAAAGAAGCAGGAGGAGCCAATGAATTTTTAAAAAATAATATTTTCTCCCACATTTAATCATTCTTGAAATAACGTGCAATTCTTTTGTAACTGGAAGACAAGCATCCTAGAAAAATCCTTTTTTTTTTGGAGACAGAGTCTAACTCTTGTTGCCAGGGCTAGAGTGCCATGGTGTCAGCCTAGCTCACAGAACCTCAAACTCCTGGGCTCAAGTGATCCTTCTGCCTCGGCATTCTAAGTAGCTGGGACTACAGGCATGTGCCACCATGCCCAGCTAATTTTTTCTATATATTTTTAGTTGGCCAATTAATTTCTTTCTATTTTTAGTAGACATGGGGTCTCACTCTTGCTCAGGCTGGTCTCGAACTCCTGAGCTCAAACGATCTGCCCGCCTCGGCCTCCCATAGTGCTAGGGTTATAGGTGTGAGCCACTGCTCCTGGCCCTAAAACAATCTTATTTTTATAGTTAGGATCTACTCTTGGATAGAAATGATCGAAGTGAACATTTAAAAAGAAACAATAATACAGAATTGGTAATAATATTTTATGTATTATAATATTTATGTTAAATTAAATTAAATATTATGTATAATAATATTTATGTATATGTATATGGTATGTGGTAATAATATTTTATGTATTATAATATTTATGTTAAATTAAATTAAATATTATGTATAATAATATTTATGTATATGTATATGGTATGTGGTAATAATATTTTATGTATTCTGGTTACAGAATATACTGTTTAGTCTAGGATCTTATATAAGCCCCCTTCCTCTGAAGGGGCTTAGGGGTTCTTTTTAGGTATTATTATACAGGCCTTGCTTATTTTAAAAAAAATCACAGCCAGGACCATTTATTAAGTATCTCTACATATTTTTTCCTTATCTGTTATCTTCATTATATAGGTAAAGATAACCAGTTTCAGAAAAGTATGAACTGCCTAGCATCACACAGGAAGAAAGCTACAGAACCACCGGTTCTGCTCTTAAATTCTTCAACATCTTTTATCACATAAATGTAAGATATTACTTCCTATCAAACTCATGGCCTTAACTATTATTTTTTCCTTATTTACAAATGTCATTTTAGGACTTGAACCAATACCCACTTTTCTTTTCTTCCTTCTCTTCAATAAAATATTTTGAGCACCTGATGTAATAAGCCACGAGAATGACCTGACATTTACCTAATACCAGCTTTCTGTTGTACACATCTCCCCATTCTCACTGCAAAAGAACACCAGTTCTGTAGTTGAGCTGAATATTTTAACCTAGGTGTTAAAATAGTCTAAGGGCTGAAAGTCTAAAGTCTAAGGACTGAAAAAAAATAAAATAAAAATGTTTTAACCAACTATTGTTCTACAGACGTGCATAGGACAGGTAGCAACTTCTACCAGGACAGCAATTCAACTTCTAGTTGAGTTGCTACATATTTCTAGCCAGAAAACTAAAATGTGCCTCTTAGGACATTTACTGTGGTCTGGATACTTAATGCAACAAAACTGGGCCTACTGAACTACTAAACTGATGTACAGTACAATAGGGAAACACATAGAAAAACTAGCCCTATTCTCTTGTAGAGCTTGCAATCCACTTAAGAAGAAAAGATATTCTAAAAATACAATAGTACAAGGCAAGAAAGCAGCCCAGACTGTGGTTTAGGGAAAGGATTATTAAGCCTGGGCTGAGGGAAACAGAATAACCAGGAAGGGCTGGGTGATGAAGTATGCGGGGGAGAAAGAAAAGAACGAAGAGAGCATGTCTTGTCTTCGTTGAGAAGAATGAAGGTACATAAGGTGTGTCTAGAGGAGATCACGAAACGTGGGCTGTGGCCAGATGTTCAATCAACTCAAATACAGGGGATATTAGCTGTTTTATCAGGAAATTAAGTCCTGAATTTAGAAAATAAAAATCAATCTTTAACTTTCTTTATACTTCACATGGCTGGAACATGAGATTCCTTTGGTCCTAAAGAAGGGTTAGGACATGCCAACTTCATGGCTTCAACACTAGACTTAATGTCCTTATTGCATAAGATATTTACACTATCATTTAATCAATATACCGTAAATGTATACTCTTAAAATTTTAATTCACGTTAATATTGAGTTTCCAGTTAAGAAATTCAAAAGCTGCTTTGCATACTAAAATATAACTACAATTATAGCGATCCAGTTGCAATAATCTAATTCAATGCAAATAATTTCAGGAAAAACTTCTATTTACATATCAGAAAGAAATATACACCAAAATTACTTACATATCACAATGGACATATAACTGGTAGAAGGAGCAGAGAAAGGGTAGTATGGCATCATTTTAACAGTATAAAAATACGTGTTTTAGAAGCTTGTGAACACCTGCTTATAATTTCTACTGAATTAGTTGCAAAGTGCCAGCAATAAAAATCCCCACATTCTGCAAAATCACACACTCAAAACAATAGGGCCTAAACAGAGATAGAGCAGACCACTCAAAACTCATGCAGCTTTGTCACAGAATACTAGTAGAAAGAATAACAATCCTAAATAAAAATACTAACAGTTAAAAAATGTTAAATTATTTAACAAAAATAATACTAAGTGAATATAGGACTCTACTTTTAAAAAGGGTGAAGGAAGTTTGAAGAATGAAAGCAAAGATTAGGCTGCTGGTTCTCAGGGCAAAGCCAAAATGCACATAGCTAGGGAGAACCTCCAACAAACCTCTCTACACCAAGCTAAGCCAAGAAGGCGCACATGGAGTTCGGATCCACAGCACTGGGTCCCTAGCCACCTTGTTGGCTGCATCATTATACTCTACAATCAGTGCAGAATGATGCACTGGGAAACATTATGTATGAAGCAACATGAGTTCTATGTTTTATCAACATAGTTTTCACACTCAGCAATTGTTTCTGAGTTATTCCCATAAAGAGACATGTTTAGAAGAACAGACTGTATGTTATTATCATTCATTCTTCCTGGGGGTCAGATTGGATTTAATTGGGTTTAAATTAAGGAAGAAATTCTATTCTTTAATACTTCTTTTTTAGGTCTCTATATAAAAGGTAAGTTGTAAATACTTCTTTTTCCATGAAAAACTGGACAAATATGAACTATCAAATTCTTGTTCCTTTTCTGAGTGCAAGTGCTCTCTTATTCTAATGTTTAATCTGTGAGAATCGTTTTTTTTTATTTTTTAACTTTTTATTATGGAAAATTCCAAACATACACAAAAGTAGAACAATATAATGAACCTCCATATACTTATCTCTCAGCTTCAAAAATTATCATGGCCAATCTTGTTTAATCTATACCATCATCCATTTCTCTTCACTTTATTTTGAAGCAAATCCAAGACGGGTCTATCGTTTTATCTATAAACGTTTCCGTATGTATGCAACAGTCTTTTTTTAGAATGATCTTTGCAGGGAAAGGAAACGGGCCATTCATGCTCAAATGTGATAACCACATGAAAGCCTAAGTTTGGGAATTTCTCCAACTCTATTGTGACAGTTCAAACACACATCACTGAAACTGGACAGGGAGCATATATCAAGATTCTCCAGAAGTGCTACTTTTGCCTGCTCTTTGGTTAGAAAGGCAATATAGTGCAGCGGTTAAGAGCAGGGACCTGTGCCAGATTGCCTGGGTTCACGTCCAGCCCTACCACTTCCTAGCTGTGTGGCCTCCAGCTCATTACCTAACCTCTACGTGCCTTGGTTCTTCATCTGTAAAATGAGGATGATAATATTACCTATTTCGTAGAGATATTCTGAGGAATAAATATGTTAATATACATAAAGTGCTTAGAATAGTGCCTGGCATATTGTAAGTATTATGTGTTAGCCATTTTATAACACAAATGTGCAACAGTTGTTATTAAAGATTAAAAAAGGATAAAATTGTTTTCACTGAGTCAAGAATGCCAAATAGTACTGTAAGAGTTAATGAGTCTCTAGAGATCAAGATAAGCAGATGTCAAAAGAAAACCTTAACAATCTAGGGCTCACATGAACATCAATCGAGCTTTGCTTTATTACCCCAAGTTTTAAAACCTCAAAGCCAAAGTGAAATTCAGAATTCACAACAACAATAATAATGAAATATGCATATACCTTGGCATCAGCTTCCCAGCACTGATGTAACAGTTCAGCAAAACTTCTGGGGCAACTGCTCGGAATGGTTAATCTCTACAATAGAGAGAGGGAAAACAAAACAAAATAAAACACAGGGATTTATTCATTAAGGCAAGCAAATACCATTTGAAGGGTCATAAAAGTTAATTTAAAAGCGTAAACAAGACATGAAATTTAAACCTTCCATTGATTAACACGTTGACTACCACACTAGGAAAAAAATTTTTTCCTTGGGGCCACAATGTTTTATTACAAAAATAGAATAAAAACTTCAAAAACAAAACAATCTTTTCTAATTTAATAAAAAGTTTGTTATTTTTCATTGTTTTCTGTGCATGAGTTATATGCAATTTGAAAAATAGTTCATGTGGCTCCCAAGGTAGAGACGTATAGTTGCATATGCTTCGCAGGGCCCTGGGCTCAAAACTAGCATGAGTTAAATACAACTCACATGGCAGTTAATGCGTTAATATATGACACAATTTATGTTTAGATTGGTAATACCTAATCTCTAAAGACTCGTATTTTTTCTCTAAAGAGGAAAGGGCAGTGGATGGAGAGTCAGGTTCAACACAACACATGCAATAAAACATAAAATCAAGTCTAAAAGAAACTACAGTAAGGGGCAAGTTGGAACTTATACACTAAATCTAAAACCACAAGTCACTATGCTTTTATAGGCAGTTTATAATACATGTAAACAGGCCAGGTAACTGGGAAACCAATTTAGCTTGGTGTACAACTCTCAAAACACCTTTAGCACAGAGGATCACAGAGATCATTTTAAAGAACTGTGCATTTTCTTTCTCACTGGCAAATAAGATATTCTGAATGTATGACGCATTACAGCTTTGTTTTAGTCAAATCCATATATGATAAGGACCTAATAGAACACAAATCATAATGTGAAGATCGGTCCTGTTATAGTCTACAGTAGTGGTTCTCATAGAACATGTGATGCCCCTATTCTGCAGAGGCAATATTGTTTGTTTTAGAGATTGGAGGGTTCCAACTGGCATTTAAGGGGAGCAGGTCAGGAATGCCAGACATCGTTCAATATACCATAAAGTCCTATATGATCAAGAACTCTCTTGTACCAAATTTCGAGTGTCCCATGTACCGTCAAGTAAGTAAAGCAAGCAAACAATGAGGTTTATAATTTTCTGGGCCTAGAATCTATCTTTAATTTACAAATAAGCACAGAGTATTTTTTTGAACAGTTTCAAAATACACTAAGTATTTTGCATTCTTTTCCAAGAATGCAACTACCAAACAGACTAAATCAAAGGCAGATTGATTTTTGCATTATTTATAACTTTACCGAAAGTTTTGAAAAATGTCACCCGACAACAGTGCTGCTCCTGGTACTGGAGTCCTTAATGCAACCCAACTCTTGCAGGCTACATTTGCAGCTGCTGAACTTTGCTTACCCATAGGTACAAGCACCTAAAACTGTTCCATTGTCTCCTCTAGTGTGGTCCTGCCTGAACATTTGTACAGTGCAATGCATATTTCATTTATTTCTCTTTTATATTACAACTAGAGCATTATATTGACTTAAAATATGTGTGTAGGTACACTGTGTTACCAATGAATTTCATTTCAGGGGAGTGGGGAACGTTAATGTAGTTGTTATAAAAAGAGCTCTGGGTGTGATGGAGTTTAGAACTGCTGGTACTAACAAGTACTAAGATTTATTCCACAGTATTGTCTGCCAAAGAAGTTTTACAAATAAAAAACTTAAAACTGAATTAGCTGGATTGGGGGAGGCTATGTGTAAAAGTAGAAAAATAGTTGCCTTGGCAAGGAAACTGACAATCTATATTTTGGATTACAGATAATCTTAAAATCAAAACAAGATTAAATTAAAAACAAAACAACTCTCTCCAAATTAAAGGCTATGCGAAGTAATTTTAACTTCTAGTCTTGTGATTTCATAGAATAGAACAAGATATATTAAACTGTACTATTATTTTACAGTAATGTGAGCTGCAAACCTTTTGATAAAGGTCAAAAGAAAATTCAGGTGTTTTCCTCTTTTTTTAATATAAAATGATGGTGAGGTAGGAACTAATGAAAACAGACTATAATAGCGATTATGCAACTGAATGTATTCCACATGTAACTAAAAATAATGAGTTTTTGTAAAGGGTAACATTTTTCAATACAACTTTGTCTCAACATTTTTCTAATAACTGAAATGTGAACTGGCTGAATATGGATGTTGATCATTTCTGTCATCCTTTCTTACTGAAAAACTGTTTAGATACCACATCTGAGACATTACACAAGGAGACTCAATTATTTTAAATAATGTGACATGGTCAAATATTAGGTAAATCTGAACTCAGACACTTTATGTAATGGATTATTTTGGTGCATTAAAAAGTACTTTAAGATAGAATCCAAAGTATTTAAGTCCCGATTACATAACTGTCGGCATTCCTAATGCATTAAAACATTCTGAAATAGCCAGATCTTAGCACCAGGTCTGCAACACTACTTAAAACTTAAATATCTTAAAATAAAAGTTTTGAATTAAAATGTTTCCCAATCACTAGATTAGGAATGTATGACATTTTGTAAAGAGCATATTCATTTTTTACCATTTTCTGCATAAGATGTAAAAGGTTTATTTTTGTAAAGTTTTATTTTTCTGAAGTATAGTCATGAGCAGATTGAGTTTTATGAAGATTTCTATGTTAATCAAAGTTTTGCTACTTAGAAGAAAACACATTATATATAAGAATCTAAATATTTATATAAAAATGACTACTTATTTGAGTTCCATGGAAATGACAAAAGCAAATATACATATCTGTTACATTTTAAAAATTTACTAGTAATGCCCTGTTAATTTCATGCCTTCTATAAAGATTCATTGTTTACTTTGTATTTAGCAGTGCTTTACGAATCTAGTTTTAATAAGATTTAGTATCAGAAAAATGATTGCTTTAAGGCCTTATTTCATTATTAAAGGTTTAGAAGCAAAGATCTTCGGATATAATTTTTAGAAAGTATTGCTTTTCCTATAGATGCAAAAAAGCAATCCTAAATGGTGAAAGTGAATAAGGTCTATTGTCTAGTAATGTCTAGTAATGTATCAATCTTAATTCCTTGGTCTTGACAGCATATACCACAGATGTGTAAGATGACACCATTGGTGGAAGCTAGGTGAAATATACACAGAATTTTTTGTGATACTTTTGCAAATTCTTATGAGTCTGTAGTTATTTCAAAATCAAAAGTTAAAAAGAAAAGGCAATACTTGGTTATAAACATATAGGGTGACTAGATCACACTCAGAATGCATCCCTGAAAGTTTAAACATACTATTCTTTATTTAAATGAGGCTTGTTAAAAATACGGCATTCTCTTTTTAACCCAAGGTATTCAACAGTAAAAATAAATAAAATAATTAGAAATTGAAAGGATTATGTAAATATTTAAGTTAAAGTCTCAATTTTGTTATGAAATAAAACAAATCCTTGGGAATTACCTTAATGCTATGCAAATAGAATTTGTTTTGGAAATGAGTGCCTCCATTTATGAGGTGAAAATGAAGATACCTTCTTGAATAATGACACTGAAAATTCATTTAAACTTTATTTCTGACAAATAAATTTTGTGCAGAATAGGAATAGCAGATAAATATCCTTGTAATATCCAGTTTTACTTAAGTTCATTAGAAAGTTGAGAAAATGTATTTCACCATGTGGGTTTATTTCAACTTAGTATTATGTTTAATAAATATAGTATGAGAGGTATTTGCAGTCATCAGTTATGAGTTGATCATCAGGACACCATGAATAAAACAGTAAACTCTACTGGATGGGATCTCTGGGGAGAACATGCTTCTCTCATGCACAATGCTGAAGAGGTTCTGAAGGTTATTCGTGGGTGATTCCCAATCCTCAAGTCAAATATTCAGGGGCTTCTAATTTTCTTTCTATTTTTTTTTTTTTTTTTGGAGACTGAGTCTTGCTTGATTACTCCAATGCAGTGGTGTCATTGTAGCTCACTGCAACCTCAAACTCCTGGGCTCAAGTGATCCTCCTGCCTCAGCCTCCTGGGTAGCTGGGACTACAGGCTCCTGCCACCAGGCCCGGCTAATTTTTCTGTTTTTAGTAGAGACGGGCTTTTGCTCTTGCTCAGGCTGGTCTCAAACTCCTGAGCTCAAGCAATCCTCCCACCTCGGTTTCCCAGAGTGTGTGATTGGAGGCGTGAGCCACTACGCCCGGCCTAAATTTATTTTTTTCTTCAGCTTTAAAAATCCTTGAAAGTCCAATATTTAAAAAAAATGCTTTAGATGTACATGTATTCTGCCATACTTTAGATAAATTATTATTTAAAAATATTATTCTGTCTTATACATACTTAGAGCTTTAAGAAAACAACAACAACAACAACAAAAAACCCACTTTCTCCTAGTTTATCTCAGAACAGTGTAAAGGGAAAAGATTACACTGTTCTGCTCCTGAATCAACATAAGGTCAATAATTTTCTTCACTTTCATCTGTAAACCCAGAACAAGACATCTAATCCTCTCACTGGCAAAAAAAAACCAAAACCAAAACCAAAAAAAACAGAACAGAAACAAGTGGGTCCTTATATTAAGAAAGTATCAGTTACACTGTGTGAGATCTTATTTATAGCACACTAAGAATTACTACCTCGTTTAATTAAAACAGAACAGCTTCTGTGAAACAATGAGTAGGGCAGATCCTTGCATATAGCTCCTTTTCTTAAACTGGCAGCTCTTTCCCATCAAGTTCAGCTATCATCAACATTTCATCCATCTCCAATGTATCAGGAGGACAAATTTTCAGGCATCCAGGATTATGTGATCTAAAAGATGGAAACTTGGTTTCTCCTAGTCAATAGCAGGTTTTTGATTAATTTAGTTTGTTCCTTCACAGACACGAGGAGCAGATCAATCTAATTCTTTCAGGGCATTAAAAAAGGAATATCTTTATATGTTCACTTTTTTTTACAAATGATTTTTATTCTAAGGCTACACTCTTACCCTTTATGGAGGGCACAGATAAGATATGGAAATGAAGAAGTTTTTATAAAATAAAGTTGTTTTGCATTGCAAAGACAACTGCATGCTTCCATTACATGATCTAAGTTCTCTTAATATCTTGATATTGGATGCTTCATCCGTATGCTGAGAATTTCCATGGCTGTGCATTTCAGTCACAATTTTAAACCTTTCAAAACGTAGTTGCTCTCTTTGATATGAATGTGCCATGTTCTCTGATGTAGGCTCATAGGTCCAACTAACTGAAAGCCTCAATTTGTGGGAAGAAGAGAAGCGAGGCTGGGGACACAGCACAAACGGTGTTTACACCACTGAAGTTCTTTTGAAATGGAAAGGCTCTGCGTGAAGAAGCGAACAGTTATGCCACTGCCTCGCCAATTCCAGTGAGGAGCTCATCTTCAATGTAGTGTTCAACGTAGGTGGCAAAACTGTAATTTTTCCCTTTTTTGAAACTATTTTTTCTTCTTTTATTTTTGAAATTCTCATCTAAGCGACAGTTTCTTGTACTATAGTGACTCCTGCTGGGAGAGGTAAGTTGAAGTAGCTGAAGGTCTCTTACAGATATATCAACTCCCGGCCAGTAAAAAAGATGTCCTAAACGCAGGAGATGGAGTTAAACTGTTCCCCTACCTTGGACGCAATGGCTTCTTTCATCACTAAGAACAAACCCCTAGGTTTTACAATTGAGACTGAGAAACTAGTACAGTACTTGTACAATTTTTGATCTACAGCATCACGACGTGAAGCTGCAACAATTAGATGTAAAGGGTCCATTCATGAGGAATAACATCACTTTGACCCTTTGTGTTAGCTCCTACTGCTAATCTTTCCATAAGCGTGAACTTACTTTCAATTTGAAGAAGATGAAAAAGTCTTTTGCAAAACCCCAATACTGTTTTCTGATCTATGTACCTGAATGGAGAAATGTAGTCTTACCTCGTTTTTTTCCACTACAAGCCAAGCTACTTGTAATCCTTCCAAACCTTTAAAGGGGACCTCCCTTGTTAGCATCTCCCAGAGAACCTGGAACAAAAAGAAAATGGAATTTTTATTCTTGTACTTTATATTTTTGGTATATTACTGAAACTTTATCTAACATTTAATTGTATCCAATTACCAGATACAACCAACTCCATCTGTAGGAACTTGGGCAAAATATATATATTTATATACAGGACTTCTGCCATATATTATATACTTTTTTTGTTCTTTTTCATAAAGAAAAAACCTGGTTTAGAAATTGGGACATCTATAGCCAGACTTAAAATTTTATGAAACCCATGGGCCTGAGTGATTTAATTTTATCTCATAAGTTATAATAACTTTCACATATTCCCACAAATTAGATTTTGTATTTTGTCAGTTAAAACTCTTTCCACCCTCAATCTTTGAAGCATTTCTCTATAAGATAATGAGCGAGAATTCAACAACATTTTTAAAGGTTCAATAATGGTTTCATAAAAAAAATTGCCCCAAATCCAAATCACTGGCTAAGCCACCTACCCCACAATGGTAGATACTTGCAAAATTATAACGTTTGTGTTTTGGAGAAATCTCTTCTTCAGTCTAATGGATCCATTTTCATCTACCTATAATATAATTTATTATACCACATTCTAAAATGTAATAAACACTTTATATACACTCAAGCTGACTGGTGTATGTGAATTTATGTTTGTGTTCATCACTGTGCAATTCTTGAAATCAGTGTGGTTAATAAATCTGGACTGGAACCCAAAGACAGCAAATCAGTGCTAGGAATGATGCAGAGTTTTCCCTTTAAACACTGAATAACGGAGATTTGTACACTGTTACTTTCTCTATTTATACAAATGGACTTGGAAAATTTGACTCTGCCAATACTCTGAAAAGTACAAAAACAATTCTAATTTTATCAATAACAATCACAATAATAACCATCTCTACCATTTATTGAGTGCTTATTATGTTCCAGATACACTTTACATATGTTATGATTAATATCAACCTTATTGAATAGATATTATCCTTATTTAAAGGTGAGGAAACTAGGGCTTAAGAAAGTTAAGCAAACTCACTCAAAGACACTCAGTTATCAAGTGGCAGAGCCAGAATATGAACTTACTGTCTGACCCTGAAGGTCAAACTCTCAAGTCCATATAATTTTAGAGAAGGGAAACCGGCAGGACTGGAGAGAACGAGACATGCCATATCCTAGGCATGGAACCCTGGCAGAAGCAGGAAGAGAACTCAGCAGTTCAGATTCAGATTTGCCTTGTTCTAAAAACAAAAGCCCCCTTCTAAATAAGAAGGTAGATGGAGGACATACACTCTATTCATGCAAATTGTATAAACCTTGAACTCTATATCCACTATTTCCTCAGCCAGTGCTCAGTCTTACTCAAGCCATAACATGTTAAATGAATTCTGGCTAATATGAAGATAATTAGCAGGAAAATCAGGGAAATTGGCAGATGCTGCTCAAGCAGGAGAAAAAAATTCACTGAAGCCTCTTTGGGCTTTTAATCAAGTGTGTAAGGTACTTCTTTAGAAGAGCTGCTGAATAATTCTATTTGAGTCACACAAGTGATTAGGAAAAGGTAAGGGCATCCCAGAAGGGGACAATCCTAGTGAATACTGGAAGTACAGGAGGGGTGAGAGTCAGAACAGGTAGGCAATCACCCCCGACAGGCACAGGGAGGGAGGGCAGGCGGGGGCAGCAAGAGGCTAAGCAGGAAACCAGGCCTCTCCATTTGCTGCAATCATTACTCCACTGGTGCAAGGGCCGGAAGGGAAATGATAGGAAACGCAAGTGATATGGATTTGGCATTGCTAAGGAGAAGGGAATAGGACATCAGCCTCCTATAAATCAAGGGCTCCAGACTCTAAAACATTCAAATGAGCAGACTCACACCTCCTTGTTTTCTTAGTTTGGTCTGTGTACATAATACATACACACACACACACACACACACACACACACACACACTGAATTTTGTGAGGTAAAATGCAAAACCAACAGTTTGGGTTATTCCCAAAGTGACTGGAAAAACATTTATGTCATTTTTTTCCCCAAAATATTCTGTTGGAAAATGTCCAAAATCTAGTAAGAGACCCAAGTTATATTTGAGTTCTAACCCTGAAAAAATACAGTTTCATTTTATGCCCTGAGTGTCTGAAGAGCTACTGCAGCTAGGGGAGTCACGTGATGCATGTAAACCTGTCTGGGATGGTGTCACTAACAGCTATGTCCTGAAGCTCTCAGGTGAGGTCTTTAGTTTAATTCCAGTATCAGCACATCTCATAACTTCCTTTTATTCATTCTCCAGATTCAGGAATGTATCAAAAAGTAGGTGGTAAGAGATAGAAGAACAGCTTTTTCTACACTAAACAAAATGACATTTGGCACACAAAAGTAACTTTGCTGGGGAAGTCACTTGGAGGTCTAAAAATACATTAAATGCTGCCCCAAAATCCCAGCTATGAGAATGCAGGCCAATGTTATTGTGATCTTTCATCTTAAAAACATTTTCCAACTCATTTTATTATATATTGAGACGTCCTCACATTTAAACTGTTCACAAGGAAAATTTCTATTTTCAGTTGATAGAATAGAAACTTGGACAAGGCTATGTACTTTTCCTGCCTTTTCTTTCACAAACAATAGAAAGCCATTACCTGAGCCCGGCTTGTTCTGGAACAGGGCTCACGGACAAGCGAGGCAGCCATGCTGTCTCTTAAGGCACTCTGTTTGCAAAGCTGGTCTTGGTTGAGAAGCTTCTAAGAAGGTAATCCTTTGTGCACCATCATTAGAATAGCTTTGTTTTTAAAGAGTGGCTAGGCCTTGTGTTCACAGAAGGCTTATTCTTTCAATGATTTTCATTTTCCTTAAGTCCTTCCTTTTTTTGTGTGGATAATATACTAAACCAGCCTGGTTCAGTTCTTCAAGAGAAGTTATCATGAGAGGATAGAAAAATTTCCTTTCTTATAACATGGAAAGAGAAACAATTGCCTGCCTGGCAAAGTCTACCAGCTTAGAAGCGCGGATCACAAGATCCATTTCTGGCATTTGCAGCACATTTATTTTAAGGCAGTACAAGGCTAGCGAGCCCGGCCATTTGTTAGGAGGTAGCACAGGTTTACCAAGCTGTGGGCAGGGGGAGCCGGTACTTTTGAGAGTATTAGGGGCTAAATTCTTACAGCAAATCTGAAAAAATAGAAAAACAAAAATATATTGCATTTTGGGGGTAGATTTCAAAAAAAGATAACTTTTTTTAATGGCCTTATTCATTGTTGTGTGACTGCTATGAATTGGGAGAGGTTTCAACTAACAGAATAGACTCTTAATGAACTACGGGATGATTTATGCAAACAGATGCTCTTACTGACAAATGAGACCTAGCTACTCACCCATTTTTTGAAAGATATCAAAAACTCTAACTACACTGCTTTCCTACATAGGTATCATTTTCAAAGTTTATGGACCTTCTAAAATTAACTGGTCCTAGCCTTAGCAACTGTCCTTTTCTGCTCTTTTATGTAATGTCTTGAACACATAATGCTTTCTTCATTTTAAAAATTTATGATCATTTAAACAAAAATGCTCCAGAAAGCATGCTTTGTACTTTTTCTTTCACTAATGGTGTTTATTTAGAACAAATAGAATGGGAAGGGGTCAGAATTAAAATATAATCCTGAATTCCTGTTTATAATTAAATTAGCATCTATATACTATTCTGAATGGAATTCTGCTGACACAGCTGCCTGCATGAGGTGAACCAGCATTCTGAGCAAACTCTCTCTTCAAGACCAACAGCAGAAGATGTTTTAAAAACAGAATCACTGCAATAGCATTTTTGTCTCCACCAGCTAAGGGAAGGCCTCGCATAAATGTAGAATTGAGATTCCAAATCAGGCGACTGGGGCAGAGAGGTTCTGAAGAGCAACATCTGATGTATAAATATAGAGCAACACTGGAGATACCCAGAGGCTGGCTGTAGAGCTTGCTTTAGTAAGTCATACTACTTGATAGAATGATTTGTTAAGCATATGTTTAATCCTCCCCTAAATAAAACCAAACCAAGCAAAGATAGGGTCAGTAAATAAGTAAATAAAAAGCCTAACTGCAAAGAGACATATTTAGGCCCTCTACTGAAAAGTGGTACAAAGTGACTTGAGTAAAAAGGTTTTTAATAAAATAAACTGAAAATATGCAGTTCTAGAAAGGTTGACTTAGCTGATGTTTAAGAAGAAGGATCAATGAAAAATGTGTGAAAGGGATTTTATTTTATTTATTAAGAGACAGAGTCTCACTTTGTTGCCCAGGCTAGAGTGAGTGCCATGGCATCAGCCTAGCTCACAGCAACCCCAAACTCTCAGGCTCCTGAGTAGCTGGGACTACAGGCATGCACTACTGTGCCTGGCTAATTTTTTTTGTATATATATTTTTAGTTGGTCAATTAATTTCTTTCTTTTTTAGTAGAGACGGGGTCTCGCTCAGGCTGGTTTTGAACTCCTGACCTCGAGCAATCCGCCCACCTCGGCCTCCCAGAGTGCTAGGATTACAGGTGTGAGCCACCGCACCTGGCCTTGGGATTTTAAAATGATACAGGAAAAGATCCGAAGCTCTGCAAACAGAAATCACCTTGTAACATTACATCTTTTACAGTTTATGTGTGAAAAGGAATTTGTGCTTGGCCACTGGAACTGAGATTGTCCTCCAGCTAAGGAAAAGCAGAGGGGTGCGTTTCACACCCAAGTCCCTGGCAACTGTAAGGATTTCAAGAAGGCAGCACATATATGCTTATATACGTTTATATGCACATGCACACAAAAGGAGTGGTAACTGCGGTCTGCTGTGGAATCACTCTAACTGTCAGCAGGAGCACTGACTGAATGAGCCACATTCTTCAGCCCTGTTGCTTATCTTTCCAAGCTCTCTTGTTTCGCAGAGGGGTCTGTTGCAGAATATAGAATGTTTTCTCATGTTTAAAAGGTTGTAAAAAACAAACAAACAAAAAAGATAACTATGCAGCAGAGACTGTAAGTGGCCCTCAAAGCCAGTAGTATGTACTACTTGGTCTTTTATACAAGAAGTGTGCTGGCTCCTATTCTACAGAATAAAACGAGACACCGGTCCCAACAAACAGGCTAAGTAAAATTTAAATTACCCTAAATTAGAGTCTAGCACAGTGCCTGACTCAATAAATTAACCTTTGCTTAAAAATGAACGAACATAACTTCATAAGAGGAAAAAAAAATCTCATAAAGAGTCTGAAATTACAACAAATATCACACTTTCAAAATACCCAGGAGATGAGTCTATGATGTTAAAATGTAGTAACTTACGACACAGGAGACCAATTTTAGAATCTAGTCTCCTCTGGAACTTAATGTTTTGTTTTTTCCTTCTTTCAGTGAGAATTATTTAATCATTATCTATAGTAGTTTATAGTCTTCATTCTTAGAAACATTCAGAATCAAGGGAAATTAGGTATTTAGCCTGATGTTACTCTTGTCTTCCAACCTTTGAAAGTCTAGCCTTTAGCCAGAAACATTTCATTCTTGAAATTTTTTTTCAATAGCCAACAAAATTCAACTCTATTATATTAATTCGTTATACATAGGATGTATTATGATTTAGAAAGAGCTAGCCAACTGAAACAAGCCCAAAACTAAGTAATGAAGCCAGCAAGAAATACTTAGAAAGACTGAATAAAGAAAAAGGAGCATGTTTGACAATGCAGATCTCTTGTGGAGAAGAGATCTGCATCAGCTACCTTCATTCCATAAGGAAACACAGACTTCAGAAAAAAAGAGGCATGCTGATTTAGGCCCAAAATTAATCTGCTTCTTTTAAAATTACTAAGAAAATGCCCTTTTAAGAAGTAATGGTATAAGTAGAGAGGCAGTATAATTGGGAGATGAGATGCAAAGACTCTCAGAGAGTTCCAAATACTATTTTGGATTTTTAAAGCATAGATAGCATTTTAGGGGAAAACCTACCCTCAGAAAAAGGCAACAAATGAATTCCTTCCTCCAGCGAAGAACTGTTCCCACCCCTGGCTTCCTTCTCTCTGATAATGCAGGTACAACTTATTCCTCAGGAAGATTCATGTCCTCCAGGGGCTTCTGCTCCTTATCCGATTCCTACTGTGGTCTCCATGCCTTGTGCACTCCACCCCATTATTCCATTCTTCTGTGTTGCTCTGTTGCTGTTCTTATGTGATACCTTAGATTCATGTTTCAGTCACTACCACTTTATACGACTTGCAGTAGACATGGACAAGGCTATCTGCCGAGGGCTAAGTACATTTTCTTTTGTACTTTTAGAAACTCACTAATCAGCTTAATAGTTGACACTCAGAAGTATCCTGTTAATTAACTCACTTGGCAGATCTATTGGTGAGCAATCCGTGACAATGAAGTCCTGTTCCAGATGATCCACATTTCCACTGAATTACAACTACAGAGACATTCTACAGTCATATTTTCACCCAGGAAAAAAGCACTCTCCATAGGAGGAGTCCAGCCCAACACTATTTCAGGTTCCATCTAATTTGTTTCTTGGCTGTGATGTTGGTTTCTTCTTAACACAGGACAAAATAACTCAGATGCATAAAAATAACCAAAGTAAACATTTTGGCAATTAGAAAGTGTTCTCTCTTTGCTGCCACCGTTTACGCACTGCACCAGAAATAGCAATACTGTCTCATGTGTTAAATTGTTGTGTCTTTCTTCCTTAGGTTGTTTGCTTTCTGTCATTCCTTTAACAAACAAGAAATGAGAAATGAACTCACCACACCATAGGAATATGTGTCGCAAGTTTCAGACACAGGGAGACTTTGGATAACTTCTGGAGCCATCCACGGGAAAGTTCCAACCAAGGACATGTGTGTTGTATGGTTATGGAACCGAGAGGCACCAAAGTCGCAGATCTAAGAAAAGAGAGACCAGTATTAACTTTCTACTTATTGGCTAATAAAAGAATTATCAGTCACAAGAATCTACATCTGAAAAGCACAAATTTTTTTTTTTAAAAATTAAAAGACTTAGTCCTACCTTCAATACTCCATCAGCAGCTATAACAACTAAAAAAATAAAAAAGATAAATTATGAAAATCATTTAATTAGTTTGAACTATCTTATACTGAAAAAATCATAGACTTAAATTTCTATCTTTAACATGGCATGAAAAGGTAAAATCAATGTATTTATTGCATTGAAGATTCTGCAAAAAGTTGCTGACATTAAAACAAAAACCTAATTCCATTAGGTACTGATTTAAAAAGGCTTTTAGGACACTTGTTTTATCCAAACGCAGTACTGTCCAGTAAAAATGCATAAATTAGTAGAAATAGTTAGGAGAACCAAATTTTTACCTGGGTTCTGCCAACAGACTGCCAATGTGATATTGAGGAAGTCATTAGCATTATTCCTTTATGGTATATATAGTTTTCTCTTGCAACTGAAGAGTAATTTTCTTAAAGGCAGAGACAAAACTCATTCATTCATTCAATTATTCATACATTCATTCATTTCACAAATATATGCTGAGCACCTACTATGGGTAAGGCCATACACTATGTTTTGGAACAAGAAGGTAAGCAAGATTGGTATTGCCTCTGCCCACATGGGGTTTACACTTAAACAAACATCTACAATAAAGTGGGATAAATTCCATGATGAGAGAAATAGAGAGTACTAAAGAACCAAGAACAGGGACAGCTAAGTCTAGGGAGATCAGATGAAGTTTCCTGAAAGAAATGATGCTTATGCTAAGACCTGTAAAACACAGGGGTTAACCAGAAAGGGGAGAGCTGAGAGAGGAAAGTAATTTTCTAGGCAGAAGAGAGAGCCTAGACAAAAACTCAGGAGAAGAGAAACGGCACAATTTTGGAAGGTAGGGCCAGGTCAAGGAAAACCCTTGTGAGAAATGGAAAGCCAAAGAACAATTTTAAGTGGAGGAAATGAGCAAATGTGCAGAGGTGAGACTACATCAGACAAGAATAGAAGTGGTGGCATGGGGACTACTGTGCGTGTAAGCTGCTGTGGTCCGAGAGAGATGAGGATGCCTGTATAAGGCTGTAGCAAAGGAGAGGAGAGAAGTAGACTGAGTCAAGAAATATTTAGGATGCAGGACCAACCAGGCTTGATACATAGCTGGATATGAGGGGAGAAGGAGGAAAAGTCAAGGATGAGATCAAATAAAGAGACAATACAGATTAATGGTTAGAAAAGGTGCTCTGGATTCAACTCCTTTTTATTTAATTTCTGGATTGGGCAACTGGTATTGCTAGTCACGGAGTAAAGGAAATGCAGAAATGACTTTTCCGGGAAGTTGGGAGAAGATGAAAAAATCAGTTTGGATATAATACGTTTTAGGGTCATACAAAATATCTTATGAGTATGTCTAATAAGCAGATAAGATATATAGTTTTGAAGCCAAGATCTGTTTGGGAGTGTTAATATGTACATGGGGCTTTTATGGGAGTGTAAAAATAAAAGCATAAGAGGGGATGAAGTCAAGGATAAAACCCTGAAGAAATGTTTCTGGTATTTCTTTTTCTTTTCTTTTTTTTTTTTTTGAGACAGAGTCTCACTTTGTTGCCCAGGCTAGAGTGAGTGCCGTGGCGTCAGCCTGGCTCAGAGCAACCTCAATCTCCGGGGCTCAGCGATCCTACTGCCTCAGCCTCCCGAGTAGCTGGGACTACAGGCATGCGCCACCATGCCCGGCTAATTTTTTGTATATATATTTTTAGTTGGTCAATTAATTTATTTCTATTTTTGGTAGAGACAGGGTCTCGCTCAGGCTGGTTTCGAACTCCTGACCT